CATTCAATCATCTTACTGACAGTAAATTTGAGCCCATAGTCGTTATCTATCCAAGTACAGAATTAGCAGCTAACTTCCGTTTATTTTCAACGTAATTACGCCGTCACAAACGAAGAATTATCAGCAAATATATTGTTCTCTGAATCCAATTTGACATTCCATTATAATCAACAAGTGGAAAATTTCTATTTAAAATTCCAACTAATGCAATTTTCGGTCGGGATAAAATGTTCAAAGCAAGCCGAATCTTGATAAGAAAAAAAAAACGAAAGGAACGTTTCTACCCTACATTAACTTGTAATTCAGCGACATAAAATAGGGAATGTTATTGTTACAAATAGTGGAGTTTGGCAGACCGCGAGTCCCAAGGGATGAGAGTTGTCTGGTCATGCCTCGCGGGAGACAACCTTGATTATAAAATTGATTCGATGGATTTGCAGGTGTAACCAGAGTATTATTTATTTAAGGGTAAAATAGGGGAAGGCGTGACGGTTTTTTCACAATTTAAATAAATTTACGTTTGCATCGTTTGTTGACTTTTCAGCAAGCAAAACGTAATTAAGATAAACACAATTATTAACAAAATTAATATTTTGGCTTGTATTTACAAAGAAAATTTAATTAGACTGTTAATCTCTAGATGAAAAACACATATTTCAAAGAAAAAGCATAAAATGTTTGTGAATAAATTGAATAAAAAATGCCTCGACAAAATCATAAATCTTGAGTTAAACGACAGGAAAAGTTTCGTAACTTTAAAGGTAGTGTAGATGCTTGTATCTCGGCCGAAACGACTTTCATTATTCCAAGCTTTGAGTTGAATATGATAAAACTTTATTTAAAGTGTCATAAAATATGAATTGGTAAAAATATATTATGCGTTAGGTGTCAGTTATTCAACATTAGACAGACTCAATTAAGATGAAATTAATGAGTCGCTTGCAAATGTGTCATTCATCAAAAATGTCCATCAGTGTCATTTCGTCAACATCAAAGCAAGCAAGAGAAGCGCGCTTCCAACAATCTCGGAACCAATTTAACAATAAGGAAAGTCGCAGAGGTAAGTTATTTATGTGTGTAGGTATACGAGAGAAGCTACGGTCTACTTTCGAGTTCCGGTTCCGGTCCCGGTTCCGCTTGATCAATAAAAGCGGAACAGGTTTAGTCCATTAGAATCCTGTTACCAAAAACCGACACCCAAACAAATCGCATTAATTATGGTATTGTTGGCGAAACTGCATCGTATATTTTCATTAGAGCTAAACTTTTGTTTGAAGGATTTTAATTAACCGAAAGGGTATTTATTTTTTTCACCTTTTAGAAAGCTTTTATTTCACCTAACTACTTTTCAAATTAATTTCAAACACATGAATGAAACCGAGTAGGTACGAGAAGGTATACAAAACGTCTGAAAGGATTTATTACCGACAAACTTCTTACGCAGTGACATTACTTAAGCTTTTCAGATTGGAGTTTGAGACAAATTGCTTTTCTTTTTGATACGAGACATGTGAAATTTCAGAGTTAAAAGGTCCTTTATGTGTTTACAAATGTAAATAAAGAACAAAATGTATAAATATAATCAACAGTTTGACAATATTTTTCACTAAAACATAGGTAATGTTTCCAAACAAATCCAAAACAATATTTTATTATTAAACAAAAATTAATTTCAGTCGATAGCATTTCCTCATGTTCATCTATCACATCTGAATAGTAATGTTCCACTTCAATTTGCCCCAAGACAGGGAATGTCCCATCGATCCCGTAAATCTGTTGAAATTATACCTACATTTCTCCATCGTTTCAATATTCGAATTAACCAAAATAATGACGTTAAAATCTTTTTAGTTGTTTGTACCTACTTCTCCAATTTATTATTTACAATGTGTGTAAAAAGTGAATTCTTCGTCATGATCAGATTAAATTACTGAAAACATTAAAAGCAAAAATAACCTAGAAGCTTCCTTTGAATTTTTAAAAGCGTTGAATAGAGTAAAAATTTCGGAGCAAGTGCAATATTTCACGCGCAATTTCACCCAAAGATAGGAGCTTCTTAGGTGGGTTCGTAAACATTCGTTTGAGATAAAATACGCGCTAACAGACGGAAGAGAGCACCGGAGATGTCAATGCAATTACTTGAATGGTCCTCAAGAGCAAGATTATAGTCGCGGACATGACCTTGCAGGTGTATTATCCTCGAGGAATATTTCCCAAAGGACTCGCACTCATTTATCAGAGTCATTGTTCCAACAACCCCACTCTTGTCATTTATTAATTGCGTCGTTGCTAAAGTCACTTTACACTCTTTGTTAGTATCTGACCAGAATGAGTGTTTTTCTCTAAATTCTTCCACAGAGAGAAGTGGATAAAAAATGCCAGCCATTTTTCGCTTCGGATTTAAAGCGTTTAATCTCACGTCACGAAATCCTATCTTATGCAGATATAGGAAACGTGATTCGCTTCTTACTCTAATGCACCAGCAAATTCACTTATTCCAACTATACTAGTTGTGAAATTGCCTCGACAGCTAGCTACGACGTAAACTAAACAAAATTGGGGCGTTGAGAAAAATTCCATATCGAGCTGAGTGTTTATTACCAGAGAGAAGTGACCGTAAAAGGAATTATAGCCACGTCTTGCAAGTGTCGCATAAACCATATGGAAATACAATTTGAAACATTGTGCATTTCAACAATTAGAAAACTGCTTCAAACATAAAATTTTATGTGTTTCGCCAGAAACTCAGTCAAATATTTCGCTTTCTTCAGACATGATAATTCCTGTTATAAAATATTAACCAAATAATCTTGAAGTTCGCAAACCCAATCTGTTTTGATAAATGATAAAAATAAACAATAAAAAATCACTGTTTATTTTTAACTCGTTTCTAACCCGGCGCATCCACCAAAATGTATTTTGCATTCTAAATTAGAATTAATTAATAAAAGCTGCCTTTGTTACAAACAGTTAAAATATAAATGTGACAGAATTTTAAAGGCCAAAACATTCACACATTAAAAAAAGTTACAACCAATCCCCTGATCCCATCGTAAATTTTAATTAATATCACGCACATTTTCTGTTTTGATAGAACCTTTTCCCGTCTCTCCATTATTCCAGACTCAACAATGAATATCAAGTATCGACGCTTCCGGTGCAAGTGCAAAATGTTTACGTTTTCGTTAAAATAACGTCGCTTTAATTGCAATTTCGCGTATAAAAAATTTTAAGAACAAATCTCGTTCTCATCTCATGCAGTTAAGACAGTTTAAATCAAGTTCGCAAAAAAGTTTGAGACGTGTTTCGAGTAAGAAAAAAGTTTGAAGATTTTAGTAGCAAGGCGCAACTCTTGTATTTAATTAAAACGATAGCAAGACAAAGACTTTGTAGAACAGACGCGTTACTAGTACCATAATGAAGCGTAACCACTGTCAGGTGCAGTTGAAGGGTTTTCTGTCGACTTCAAGCTAATTGGAAAATGAAGTGACATACACAAGGGATATGTGTGAATCTTGGAGAATTAACAACGCTTTGACTAGTTCTGCCAAATGACAGAGGAGATAGAGGCGTATTATTACAGGCCGTTACTGTTTTAATAACCGTATGAAGATTAAAAAATAAATCGAGCAGAAATCCCTAAAACAAATAATGGTTTCGGCGGCTTAGAACCAGTCTGTTTATTAAATTTTTTTTTACTAGGATATTACAATTTAAATTTTGTACAAATTTCGAAACTTGATAATAATTTATCAGATAAATCAGTAGTTGTGTACCAGCATTTACCAGCACGCTTCCAAGAAACCATCGATCATAGTTTATCGAGACTTGTCCCACTTACCTGAAAGCGTAATTTTTGTGAAAGAAACCCACAAGAAACATCGATCTGCTTCGATGTTTGATTAATTCGTAAAAAATGCCGCAATATTTGGGGTGATCATCGGCGTGTTTTGTGGCGTAAATCTATTCAGGTCACGTTCTCTAGCTTTTTCATTTTCTTCGACGATCATTTAGATCGGTTATGAATCGGCTGATACGAAACAAGGTTTGTTCCTTTAGACCTTATTCAAAAAAATTCATAGCTATACAAAATTAAGTTCCAACTGGGAAATCTAACGTGATTACGGTTTGTGAAAGACTAAAGCGGTATTGGATTCGGGAATTTCGTAAAATAATTTTGTTACGCAGACAACCAATTACACAGCTCGATGCCCTTAACTGTGTATTATTTATTTCGCGATGAAAAAGCGTCCCAAATGCAAATTTCCTACTGGATATTAAAAAATGTGTAAAGTTTCTTTTAATTCGTTTAGGTACCGAAGCTTTCAAAACGTGGTCTACCTCGAAAATTCGATTTAAGAGCAACAGATTTTCTTCAACAACAATCAGGAGCTTACGTAAAAGCATTATTTATACATTCAAAAGGATCAAGTTTTGCGTCTCCGTCGAAAATCTACCGTATTTAAATATTCAGTAGTTACTTGCAAACAGGTGGACGAAAGTTGTTTTTCGTTCGAATATCCGACAAATTTGAGAGAATTTCAGACCGAATCGAATTAATTAAATTCCTGTCTTTAATTTCGACGGAACGTCGATCTACTTTTAATCAGAGTGCAACCGTTGAAAAATTATCGACAAGAGTAGGGTTTGTTTTTACCGACAGGTAAAAAAACTAGTTAGGATAAAAACTAGTTCATGCATGTTGAGAGAAAATAAATTTAAAAAATGCTTTTTACTGCTTTATGTAAATTCGGTTAGAGTGATTAATTGAGCAAACACTGGAAAATTTATTAACGGCCAAGGAAACACATCTCTCCGACAATGAATATTTTACAAACAATTAAATAAATTTTCAGCGAAAATTGAGCTTTCCAACTCCGACATGGATGAGCAAATTAAAAAATTTACAAGGCCGGATATAAATCATGTCACGTTGAGCGACAGGGCTCTGTCGTATGTAACATGGCCGCCGTAATCCTTTTTTTTTTAATTAAAAACACTTTTTGTAAGCTATTATTTTATTTTCAATTAGCATACACATCAATATCGATATGGTTCAAGATGTAATTAAGTAGAATATAAAGAAAAAAACAATTTTGACCGAAAAGTATATACTTCATCTTAATTAACATTAGCTTCTATTGACATATATGTTAATTCTGAGGAAACAGGGGTACAACCTCTATACTTTGCATTAAATAAATGCTCCCTTTACACAATATAAATATGTACATATTATATGGGGGCACCCAACATTACAATAAACATTAACTCAAGTTCTAGTGCCTATATGTCTAGTGGAATGCTAAAGCTATCCTAAACATCGCTACTCTTAATAATAGACACATTTTAAAAAATAAAACGACCTGCTGGTCATTTTAGGTTTGAGTGCATTATTATACACACACAAAAATGATAAAAACGACATACATAGTCTCGAAAAAAACCACTAATTCTATGCAAAGTATAGCTTGTAAAATTAGGTGCGATCCTTCTCGTCAAGTCGCACAATTTTTATTGTTTTGCATTTTCCACATTTGAACAATAAAAACTGTCCAACTATGTGATGTAATCTAAATTATTGACGCCCTAATTCATTCATCACGTGTTTACAAAATGGCGGCGCCGTTCGAGAAGAAAAGCAAAATGCATGTAGGGAAAGCACATGCGTCTTGATACATTTTTGTTTAAAAAAATGACTCGGCTACACTTAAAAACATCTCAACGTGAATTAGCCTAAATATACATAATTAAAAAAATTAAAAAGTTGCAGATGTTTAAGTGTAATCGATCATATGCTCTAAATTCATTTCTTGCTCATTATTCTCAGATATTCAAGTGCGTTCAAAGCAGCCACCAATTGTGCCTCTTTCGGTGTCGTTCCAGCACCGTAACAAACTGCTACCGGTAAAGTAGAAAGTTGTACTAAACATTGACTTTTGCCAGACAATGCCTTCTCTTCTATATCGACGTAAGTTACTTCAAATTGTTGCTCAGTCGCAATCTCATGTAAAAACTGAATGAAGTTGAAGTTTTCGCTGTTGAGAACTATATTCTGCAAACGATTTCCAATGTAAAAACGACACAAAGATAATTTTTCACATTTGAATAAAATAATAAATAATTTACCTGCAACTCCTTCAACTTCGGCCCGTTGGACTGCTTGAGGGCTTTGTGAAACTGCGATACCTTTTGAGTGTGTTGTATGTTGAGTGTCGGTATTTTACTATCTTTCAGACCACTGTAGCGTCCTTGTAAGTTACACATTTTCCCCGCCAACTACAAAATACATAATTGAAATGAAACAGATTTGCTCGGGATTATTTTTACGAATACATAATAATAGATAAAGTCATTTCAATTTTGTACATCGTGCTCTGAAAGATCGTAAAAATACCTCAGCAAGATCCGATTTTTTTTTTATACAATAAGCAAACACAAAAAGCATCCATGTCTGAAGAAGGAAAGCCAAACGAAAAAAACTAAGCTACGACAACTGACTCGTCTTACCTCTTCGTCATCGTCGTAACTATGCGGTAAGTTGTTGCTCTCCAAAGGCATATCTTGCAACGCTTGCCACATTTTATGTGCTGCCATTCTTTTTGCTAATTTTTTCGATTTTCCAGTACCGACTTCTTTAAATTTTAATACTTGACAAGCTATCGTAAATTGGCGTTCGTGAGGAAGACCTTCCTCATGTTCCATTTCGTAGGACGGTGGAGGCCATCTCCGAGACATACACATCTCCTGGAGCCAACCGATTGGATTTCCCATCACTTTATCGTCGAAAGGAGACACTACTTGAGCTGTGCTAGATACAATAACATTTAAATAATAAATAATTCGACTTGTTGAGTGCATATTTATTTACATATCGTTGCCTCCTGGAGTCCCATTGGAAGCGTTAGCTTGTTCGGGACTCTGCTTGCCAACCAAAACATCAAGTAAATTCTTAGCAGCGGCGTGTTTGGCATCTTTTTTCGATCTACCAGTTCCGGTAGCAACCAAATCGTTATTAATAAACACCCTGTAGCGGAATATCGGTTCATGGATAGCACCCTCGATTTGGACTAATTCGTACTTGGGTGTTGCCCCACGTCGACTCAACAACTCTTGAAGAACTGATACGGGAGTTTTAGTCGGCAACGAAGCCATCTCCTAAAATACTTCGTTTTCTTTCAAAAAAATAATAATAATAAAATCGTACCAATTTGGCCTCCTCGCTCAGAGACATCCTTTCAGCTTGCATTCCGTGTAAAGTATTTCTGTTGTTTTTTCTCCTGGGATGGACATTGTGTATTTGGCTTGACGAATGCAAAAGTGTCATATTTGGGTCCATGCGAAATTGCTGAAAGGAAAAATCGTTGCATCATTTGATAATCAAATAATTTGCGCATTTAAATAACCGACCATCACCACGAGAAGAATAAAGGCAAAACATAATATCCTCGATTTTTGTTATTTCTTTACCTGTTCAACTGGCGGAGGTACAAACATCTCGCCGCTTGTCGGCCCTTAATTTCCGCTTCTGAAGAAAACGAGCAAATTATATTCCATTCGCCCTACACAACTCAAGAATTGTAAATCAAAATTCAACAAAACAAAAGAAAAGAGGGAGAACTGGTAACGGTTTTATTTTAACAATGCGAACCCTTCGCATTCACACCCCTAGACCAACCGCCAAAATTTTCATCAGTAATCAACACAGTTTTTTAAAATTATTTTTCGTCATATACATGTATATTTTCGTAGAAAGCCGGTAAAGAATGGTCAAAAAGTATTCCACCAATAACACAAAATAGGCAATAGTCGATACATATTGTAATAAAATTTTATATAAAACAATAAAACGAAAAAATTACTTACAATTATTTAGAGACTTTTATTAAAACCTATTAAAATAGAAACAACACTATCTATAAACACTGTAATGGCGACGTTTCTTGAGGGACAGAAATGTCAAACAATCCGCATGCGCAGCATAACTTTTCAATCACCGTTGCGGTCTATTTGGTTACATCGCGAATTCGCAAACCACAGAAATAAGTGGCTACCAAAACTTTCGATCAAATGATTTTAGGTTCAAAAACAATTACTTTTTATTTCATAAATACATGTCAAAAACAACTAGAGACTACTGTATAATAATTGTCTCACTACAATTTTACCATACCACCTGCCATCTTCTTGTCAAAACAGTCACAAATCGCTCAATTTTCCGCTTGGAAACTACTTCAAAATATGTAATTTTTAAATTGTCATATTTCTAGTCTTATTTACAACTAACTAGACTGTAAAAAATCAACTCTAGAATCTCATTTCTGACCAAGATGCGTTTACGAGTGCTTGTTTGTATGTTTCTAATTTTATTAATAGTTTCCCCAAGTTCTGAAAATATTTTTGACAGTTTTATTGCTACAAATGGTAAGAATAGACCAAGTGAATAAAAAGTATGGAACCAAACGTTTTCTGCTTAAACTATTTATTTTTTGAAAAACTAATTGATTAGTGATAAAGTACTATAAAAATTTGATGATTTAACAAAAATAACATTTTTCAAAATTTTCTTTTATTTTTGAGTTCTACAAAAAAATATTTTTTTAAATGGCAACCCACTATAAAATCATTTTTCTCATAAAAGCTATACTCCAAGGATTACAACTATCTGCTTTATATTTAATTTTTTCACATAAATTGCAATTTTGACTAAAAAAATCGCATAACTTAAAAACAAAAAAAAAAAAATTCGTTCTGAAAATACGATCACATTTTTTATATTACTCTAATTTATATTAATTATTATTTTTTGGAGGCAAATGATTAAAAATAAAATCGCATGGTTCCATTCTTTATATTCACTCTGTATAATAAAAAGCTCATTGTGAAATTCCCCTAATTTTAGAAATGGAAAGGGCGCGTAAAAAGAAAAAAGGAGGTGGCAACAGCAAATACACAGTACCACTTCTTTTTGGAGCCTTGATGATCAAATCAATTATTTTTCCATTGGCGTTTAAAGCCATGGCTGTAATGTCAAGTATTGCAATACTTTTAAGTACTATGAGTTTAATTATGTCGTCGATTGTGGGATATATTAAAATGGGATTTAAATCTGCCCCTGTTAAAGTCGTTCATAAACAACCATCATTTAACAGTTGGGCCAAAGACGATGATGGTAAAAACTATTATGCAGATAATTACGATTTGGTAGCACCGCCACCCCAATAAATATATTTTATGTAACATTTATTTATCTAAATAAAATATATCACAAATATTTAGTAGAAATAAAAACGCTTTTTTTTACTTTTAATTAAACTGTTTCAAAACCACTGATTTATGGGTTACAGTGTGACTCCAACAAAGACAGATTTAACTGTATCTATCTCTCTTGTTCTTTGGTTTGAAGCGTATTTAGATCCTCTTAACCTCACATTTTTGTCAAATATTAAGAATTATCTATCGAAAGTATTTATTTATTTATGATAATAAACGACCTCAAGTGAATCTGCCACTAACATCTAATTATAAATTAGACTTTATCAGTGTAATTTTTATAATGGTTTAATTTTCTGAAAGACGTGTTAAGAACATGTAAACAATGGCTACATTTCACGTTTTACAAGAAGGTCCGGTAAATGCTTTAGCATTAAATAGAGACAACACTCAGGTAGCAATTGGTGGACGCAATGGTAATTTGCACTAAAATAAAAACACCAACATCACAAAAAAATATTTTTTTTTAGTGTTTAAAGTTTACACAATTGAAGAAGACAAATTTCGAGAAGTATGCAACTTGCGAGCATCAAAACATCTCAACTTGAGTTTTTCTTGCAATGATGTTTCCTGGAGTTGGACTGACGGTGGGTAACGTGTAAAAAATATTATCAATAACTTGTTGCTTTTAGATCATTATTTGGCCACTGCCGCCACCAATGGCCATGTTTGTGTGTGGAATCTAACAAAAATGGGCAAAGCGATGCAAGAACAAGACTATCAAGAACACAAACGTACAGTTAACAAAGTGAATTTTCATGCCAGTGAGCCAAATAGACTCATATCAGGCTCTCAAGACGGCACAATGCGTTATTTTGATATTCGCGTTAAAAACGCTGTTGCTATTTTTTACAGTAACACAGAGAGTGTGCGTGATGTACAATTCAGTCCTCATAATCCGTACACTTTTGCGGCCGTTTCAGAAAATGGAAGCGTCCAATTGTGGGACGTGAGGAGGTCTGATAAATGCCAACAGCAATTTGCTGCACACAGTGGACCAATTTTTGCATGTGATTGGCATCCAGAGAACACGTGGTTGGCTACTGCTAGTAGGGATAAAACAATCAAAGTTTGTATGTTCTACAAATTATTGGTCGAAATAAGAGACTTGTTTTTTATTAGGTCTGGGATTTGACGAGCAAACTGACTTTGGAATATACTATTCATACTATAGCTTCTATAGGACATGTCAAGTGGCGCCCTCAACGCCGATTTCATATAGCTTCATGTGCTTTAGTTGTCGATTGTAGCATAAACATATGGGATGTGAGACGGCCCTATATTCCTTATGCTGCTTTTAATGAACACAAGGATACTCCAAGTGGGGTGGCTTGGAAGGAGGACCCTCATGTTTTTCTTAGTAGTGGTCGGGTAGGTATGGATTACTTTGCTTTGAACAATAATTGTATAAAAAATTACGTAATTATGTCGTTGATCGTTTAGGACAGTACTTTGTACCAGCATTCATTCGATTACGCTAGCCGACCTGCTAAAAAAGCTAATCCTCAAGGTGTCTCATTAAACAATCGAGGTGAGATTTTGTACGCTCACAAAACTAATGTTAGCACTTTGGTTAAAGCACCAGTTGGTATAATAAGGTAAAAATTAAACAAATCTAAAATGATAAAAAAACGACGTTTATAGGAAAACATCAACAACACAATCACCTGATCTTTTCCACTTAGCTTCCAGTTTAATGCATCAGTTTACCTTGTCCAACGAAAACAAATGCGAATCGGAGATTTTCATTGGTTTAGCCAAGAATTACATATTGAGTGGACGGAGTTTATCTGAAATGTGCGAACATAATTCAGCGGTAGCAAACAAATACGGAAAAAACCAAATCTCTGTCGTATGGAAAATAATGAAAACGATGTATGGCGAAGAGTATTTACAAACTAGTAGCAATAACAATAATCGAGAAGATATTATTTCACATAACAATATGGGTTTAGATCACAGTAATGAGAACGATCAAAGATCACGTGGTGGTGACACTCCTGCGGCTCAGTTTAGTGATGAGACTGAAAACGAGGATCAAGTCGATCACATCGCGATCTACAATAACGGCTTTCCTACATATTTGAATATTAGAACAGGTTTACCGAAAGGAGATTTCTCTTTTGGAGAGAACGAGTTGGATATGGAGTTGGATGGGATTATGACGGACTTCCAGAGCGGTTATCGAAATTTCGTGACGCCTCAGCAGGATTTTGTTCTACCAAACGAAGCATTTCATATTAGACACGAAATCAGAAATCGGTCGCCGCCTCCTGACAAATTTCCCAATAATTTTCCTCCTGTGATGAGTGACGACCAAAATATACCGTTTGAAGAGCAACCAAATAATCTTCTTACAGTGTCTTGTTTACCAAAAATGCCTTTGTGGGATCCTTCAAGTATCGTTTTGGATGCTTTAAAACATCACGCGATGTTGGGAGACGTCCAAACGGCCGCTTGTGTCTTAATCGTTCTCGGCGACCAAAGAAAATGTTTGAATGATTTAGATGAAAGTACACAAGAGCATTGGCTTTTGGGCTACATTGAATTGTTGAGTCGATTCCAACTCTGGAATATCGCCACACAAATTATCAAATTATCTTGGATACCTGCCGTTGAACAATTGAATCAACAATCCACTAGATTTAACACTAATTGCAGCAAATGTAGTAAAGCGTTGCAAAGAATTGGATGGCTTTGTGACAGATGTCATTCGTCACAATATGCGTCTTGTAGTGTATGTCATCAAGTTGTTAAAGGATTGTACGCTTGGTGTCAAGGTTGTTCGCACGGAGGACATTTATTACATATGAAGCAATGGTTTGCTGTTAATAAAATGTGTCCCACAGGGTGTAGACATTTGTGCGAATATAAGTGATTTTTTTTATTTAATCATTTACTGGTTTATTTATTTGAAAGATTTTTTCCCATGGAAATTAAGTGACAAAAAGAAGGTCAGAAATTTGCGTGATGACAGTAGTGTTTAAAATAATAAGTGAGATATATTATGTCGTAATTAGTCATTTATAATTACAAATAATAAAGACTTTTTATCATCATTCTGGTTTTTTACTTATAAGGTATTTTTGTTATGCAATAAATGAGTCAGGAAAAAGAAAAAAAATTGGAATATCAAAAATGGTTTTATTATTTATGTCTTATATGCGCCGGAAACAAGTCTTTAGTGTCGTTATTCTTTGTACAAAACTATTAAACAAGCTTTTGAAATAATTTTCTTTTCTAAGAAACGTGATTCATTTAAAATGGTATAAATTAATAACATGCTATAAAAAATTGTTGTTTTATATTTTACTGACTTATTATTTTCTTTCTAATCTAGTTATATATAATAAATAAAATAAATACGTAAATAAATTGCACTAATAATGCCCGCCGCCGGTTTTAAGTCCCATAACGGCAGCAAAAAGGGCGAAGAAAAATCCTGCTAATCCGGTGGCTCCTGTTAAGAGGATAAGTCCACCGATTAAAACTGGTATTAATGTGAAAAATTTTAATTTGTAAGCTAAAAGTAACGGCAGTAGGAAACGTTTAATTTTTTTCTTCACTTTGAATTTTCCTCGAGTCTCCCGCTTCCTGGCGACGTCGAATTCTGAAAAAAAACGGGTTTCAGAAAGAGACAATTTTATTACTGTAAACTTGTGATTATTTTAAGGTTTTTAAGGATAAAAGTTTCTTGTAGACAGTATTGGTATTGATGTATTTTTTTGTCCAATTAAATTGGTTTACTAATAAAATACAAATTTTTCTCTCCTATAAAACACATTTTTATAATTTTACTAAAAAAACATTTAGATTATGACAGAAAACAAGAATGCTAGTTTTGTAATTACACATTTTTGAATCTGTTTAAAAAAATACAATAATCATAACGTCGTTTATGCCAAGTGGGTCAAATAAATAGTGCAAAAAATTTTTGGAAGATCGGAACATAGAATTTGCAGTTAATAACACTCTAGAATAAGCCAAACTTCTAACACGTCTCTTGTCGTGCGATTTGCACTATTTGATCGCATTTTTCATAACATTTCCTGAAAACCTACTTGAATAAATACACGTATTTTGTCCAACTAGAAGCATGTCGAATCGAAATAATTACAGATCGAGTGTTTACTGACTTGAAAAAAGGATGAAAAAAAATTGATGTGTGACGTATCTTTGTAAATGAATGTCCGAAATTCGAGATAATTTACCTGATATCATGGGTATCCTGTTTTGAAGCGACCACTGTTTTGGGTAAATCCCCCAGGACGTCGATTGCACTTCTTCTAATTCGTTCCCTTCACAGCACTCTTCGGCGTGAACGAAACTCATCCAAATCATTAATAAAATCGTAATGTTTATCATTTTCGCGTTTTCGCAAGTACCGAAACATCAAGGAATCATTTTCGAAATGAACGCGTTTTTGATTTGAGTAAGTGCGTCACTTAAGTGCTGCCACCACGACCGTTTGCAGTAAACTCAACGTTTCCATTTCCTTCTTGTGTTTCAGACCCGTGTAATGATTCTACTCTAATGTTAAATATTATCTACGTTTCCGCATGAATTCTTTAGATACAACGGACCAAGCGTGCAATTTTGCGGTATGACAGTGGCGTGGCGAAAAATCGGCCTCGTGGATGAGATTTTCGCCGGTCACAGTCTGGTTGCCTGTTTTTTGACGGGGTGGACAGGAAACGGACTATTTTGGCAAAGTGTTAATTGATGGAATAGGGAATTATGGTACAGTTGCGTGCGTAGGTAAAAATCGTTGGTACCGTTTTAGCTCCATGCGTACACAAGAGGAACAACTTATTTCGGGTAGCTGGAGACATTAATTTGGCGGATAAATGAGTTTTTAGTGTCACTCTTACAAAAGACAGGGAAAAAAAATTGGTTGACGATGATAATTATTTGAATGACGACACAATTTGCAGGACAAATTTTTACATGGTTCGATATGGTTTTGATATGCATCATCAAATTTTCGCAGATTTTTTTATATAACGTGGTTCTTCTGACTGTTTGTGCAATTGAGCTTATCCATTTGTGAAATTCAATGTTAATTGTTTCAGTTTCTATGTTTTTTTATTAACAGATTTGTAATTATTGAATTAATTATACTCACAAATATTTTTTCACGATTTAAGAAGTGCTAGGAGTAATTTTGTAACAGTTACAAATCAACTTTTGTTTTCTTTGCTAAATAAAAGTAAAATAAAATCCACAGTAAAAGAATGAGTTTATTTCTGTATTAAGTATGGTCATTTTACAATTTTCTGTAAATTTCATTAAATAAAATTGTGTTATTAATTATTATTAGGATTTCAACATTCCTGATAGGTGTGATCTACTTGAAAAAGAAGTAAATATTTGAATTCTTTAGCTTTAGTGTGGGAGAATGCACAATTTTTTTCCATTGCAGTGTAGAGTTCTTCTTTGCAATTATTTACGCTTTTACTATGGTCTAGAAGAGGTCGCTGGTTTTGTCTATTTAGCTGTTTTCCATTTAACTAATTTGAAATAAATTTTAAGGTCATGATCTTTTGTGAGACACCGGAAAGTGTGAAGATATGATTAGTCAATAAACAAAATAAATAAAAAAGGAACTTATTCAGCACGACTGAAGATGAGCAAATCTGAGATATTTATTTTTATAGTGTAACGGTAAAATAGAAATTCCTTCGTAGAGTAGGCATTAGAATACAAACAATTCTTCACACGGTCAGTGATGGTGCGATAAATTCCATCTTTTGACAATTAAGGAAGAAGGTTGCGTGAAATCCCATATGTCACGATAGTTTATGCTAATCGAGAACATTGCGCTACAAGCATATCCATTCTCTTCACTCATGTTAAGCACTCTAATTACACTATTTACACTAACAATGACTTGCTAGAAATTCGTAAAAAACAATTTTATTGAAGAAAAATCAGGACAATACTGATTGGTACAAAATAAATAACATAAATAAAATAAATAACAATGGCCTGAAGAAAAAGAAGCGACCAAAAAATCGGTCATTTCTACGATTTGGGACTGTACGCTTTGTAGGCTAATTTTTGTGGGTCTTCGAAAGATCTTTTGTCCCAACCGCCGCCGCTGGACTGCCAACCGCCGCCGCCGCCGCCGCCGCCACCGCCGGACCAACCGTGTCCTCCGTGACTGTGTTTGGCGGCAAAGAGTTTCTTAATGGCGATGATTCCTGAAATGAGGAGAGCAATTTTCGCAGTGATGAGAGCTTTTCCTGCTAGCAAGAAAAGTCCCGCGATTGCGACCGGAACTAGAGCGGCCATTTTGGCAGCCATTCCCATCATCATACCACCCATCATGCCTTTCATTTTTTTGCCACGACCTGTAAAAAATAAAGGGTTATTCGAATTTATTATAATTTTTTATGAAATGTACCTTCTTCAAGAGCTAATTTAGGGAAAGTGACTTCGATTGTCCTCGAGCCGACGAATTTGGCAACTTTGTCTAAAAGAATGTTAGTCAAAGCTTCGTCTTTGGCATCGGAAGCTCTGGGTAGCGTATTTTCAAGTTGTTCTTCTGAGAGGGTAGCTTCGGGAATAACATCGTTTGATTTTGTAATCATCACACCTTCGGCGAGTGTAAAATGATCCATTCGGCTCAATCTATCCAAAAATGTGATGGCTTTTTTCTTAAGACATGGCGAAAATCCAGAGCTTTTGCTACAATCATCGTAGATTTTTAAAACCAGACGTATTCCGGTACTATCGAAGGAGTCTTGAGCTAAGGCCACTACGGCGAAGGCCGCCACTAACACTAACGTCTTCATCACTCCAAGAACCGACAACGACTGATAGCAAAACCTCTATTGGGGGATTTATATACAATAGGATTGACACTGACTGTGACCTTTTCTTCCGTGACCTCCTAAGAAATTCCCATAGAGAGAGAGACGTCTTCTGCGCCCACACCCGGTTTCATTGACACATTTGCCGACTACCCTAAAAGCGTTATTGGTAGAACGATGACCCACAAAAGTCTTCTCCTTGTCTCATTGGTTCCGAGTTTACTACGGAACCCCTCCAGGTTTTACGCTCGAGTAATTTTCTTCTAACTGAGAGAGATTGATGCGGCCGACAGTGAATCTGGTTTGGTTTATTACAAAAGTGATGTCTGAAATTGAAACTAAAAATGTTTTAGTTTATTTGGTGGATTTGTTTCAATGATATTGAAATTGTAAGTGATTTAGGGGTTTTTATTCACTGCTTCGATACACAAACAGATCAATGGATAACAAAATCGACCGTTTTGTGGCTTATATTTACTAAATTTTATGCTTTAATAATAGTATTGTTTGCTATAATTAACTTATTTTTATTGTTCTTTGTTCTAAATTCGACTGCTCCGATTCTAAGTCAGTAGGCACAGAAATTGGGATGAAACACCATAAAACAAACGAAATTTAGAGATATCTTAATGACTTTTCAAATATACGAATTTCCTGAAAGGACAATATTTGAAATATCTTTAGATGTTTTTCAGGTCAGTGTTACTCCCGGTCATTTTAAACTTAGTACACTTATTACCATTGCCATAATTCACTTAAAATTACAGAAGACTCTTGAGATTGTAATAATTTCAGTGCGTAATCATCAAGCATCGTTTCCTCTTGAAACGTAATTAATTGAGACATTACGTATCTCTTCGTAAAACAAATAGAAAAAAAAAACGTATTTTAAAGTTTGCATTGTTTACCCTAAATTTTAAAAATTTAGCGTTAAAAGTGTGTCAAAAGATGCGTAAACAAAACCACAAGTCCGCTGTTTGTGGTACACCGAAAATATTTGCGTAGTTTTGCCAATGGGGTCAATTCCGGAATGCTTTTATTAGATTTACAAGAGGAAATGCATTAAGGTGCATTACAATAACCTAATTCTCAACGTTCGATAGTGGTTGATGTTGTATAAGAAGCTGGTTAAGAGTGACAGTGTAATGTAGAGTAGAACAATAAATTGTTCTTTAACTAAGGTGAACAATAAAGCGTACGTCCTACTTTAGACACATACGCGCTCATTATATAAATTGATGCTCTTAATTATAAGCAAGATGCAATCTTTTCAATTAGTTGTGTGTATTTTGACAACTTTGGTCTAGTTTCCAGAGATGTTTTTCAACGCGAAAATTATTTATTGAATTTATAATATCGTTCATTATCAAAGTTCTACTTGTCGTAAAGCATCTGGTTAATGTAAAATAATTTGTATTAATTGTTTTCATATTTAGACCAAATGGTCACGCATTTCTCGCCTAGATTGTGTTCAGAGAAGACTTTTCTGCTTGGTGGTCCAAAGAAAACGGAAGTTGCGTGCATTTACAAATTCTACTAAAGAATCAAGTGTAAAAATCATGCTCTAAAAGTGAGCAAAAAACACGAACTAGTCTAATATATAAACTCCTGAAGAAAATTTCTATCTCAGTATTGATCTAGACATGAGTTATTTAACAGTTTTTTTCCTATGTTTGTTAACCCTAACTTGTGCAAACTATACAAGTTTGAATATTTTAAAAAAAGTTTACAATCAATGTTCACACAAAATGGATATTTTCAAGTGTCTGAAAATCCTAGGATTGAAAGTAATAGATCGAGCCCTTCATTCCAAAGCTCTTAATGTTATTGACGGTGTGACTTTAGTGAGTGATGAACAAACCCTCAGTAAACCTCTAATCGAATCTAAATTAGAACAACTCAAATCGGAGGAATTGGACGACTTGTTACTAAACACAACACGACGATTTTTGGGTAGTCACAAATTTGAAATTAAACTTCCAAAATTATTGGAAGAAGGTCGAAAGAAAGGAAACAAAGGAGGAAGTGGTGGTGCTTTATTAGGAGCATTAGCAATTAAAGGAACTTTCTTGGCGATGGCTTATCAAGGAATTGCAGTCATGTCTGGAACCGCAATTATTATAGGCAAAATGGCCCTGATACTGAGTGCAATTTTGGGATTGAAAAAATTGGTTAGCAGTGGCCAAGAAAAGACGACTTTGGAAATTGTCAAAATACCCAAACATTCTGAAGTTCACACTCATTCAACTTCATACGAAGAGGACGACCATTACCACAGGTCGTATGATGTGTTCGGTCGTAGAATTGAGTATCCTAAAAAAACACTACAAATATTTTAATATAGCGATAAATTAATTTATTATAATTTATGTATGTATGTAATTATTGGTCAGTAAAGAATGTTGAATTAAACCTGGTTTTATGAGTAGTTTGTTAGATTTAGTAAGAGTGAAGTTAAGTAGGTGTTAAACTGGCAATCACTTGTGTTTTTTCACACTAGTACACAAAATGAAAACAATTAGCTAATTTATGGCTACTTTTACTAATAACTTGAAAAAAATATACTTTATTACTTATTTTAAGGGAATTTTACGTGCTATTAACACCTCTCGAATAAGATCTTGATATTGCAGTTATGAGAAGAATGTTCCACTTATTTTTGACAATGTGAAATAAAGATATTTATATATGAAGACTTGACTTGACATAACATTTATACATATTTGATCAATTGGTAAATTACTAAAGGAGAAAAGTTGCATCTAGCATCTAAAATAAGGTTGATCTTGACCGATGTTGTTCACTAGGTCGACCAATTTCTCACCAACTTCTTCAAAACTTTCACTCGTATATGGTACATGCACGTTGCTCTATTTGTGGGAAATTTTTTGTTTGTTCTTTGTTTAGTGCATTTTCTTTTATGAAAAGTTGTATGTATTAATAATTGTAATGGATGTTTAAACAAATGGACATTGGAATTTCCGGATTAAATGTTTATTGATGTCATGATTCAGAGCAGGTTCTTACGTAAAGATCTGTTACGCTATATGCATAAATTACGCATTTTAGATCTTTAATCGGATTACTACGCACGGTTGTAAATGGTTTATTTCATCATCATTTGTACAATTTTCAGACCTTGTAATTATTTGACACTATACTAGGAAGCGTCTTTTACAACACGGTTAGTGAGTGTGACGAGATAGCAAGATAATATTTGAACTTGATGTTAAGTACTCAAATATTGTCTTACTTGCACTTAAACTGCCATAAATTGTACTTCACCTAAATTACAAATAAATAAAATAAATTAATTAAAATTGTCTTAAACGTTAATATCCTGAACTAGCGTCAGTAATATGCGCCTTGTACGCAATATTATGAGCATCATTGTTCAAACTTCTATGCCATCCGCCGCCTCCATGACTGTGTCCATCACTACTGGCATATACTACATGGGATGTTTCGCCGCCACCGCCGCCACCACTTGACAATTTCTTCAATCCAACGATAGCCGAAAGGAAAAGTGCCAATTTAGCAATGACCAATGCTGTTCCTGCCATAAAAGCAACTTTGCCCATAAACATTTGAGCCATCATACAGGCCATTCCACCAGCAGCCAACATCATCATTCCACCTTTGCCGCCGCCTTTGTCTTTCTTGCCTCTAGCTGCAAAAAGAAAACGTCAAATTGTAAATTTTTAACAACTCAACTTACCTTCTTCAAAAGCAGGCGCCATATTAAATTTGATAACTCTTGATTTAAAAAATTCCTCGATTTTTGAGTATAGCATGTCTGAAAGTTGCAAGCTTCTGGCAGAAGGTTCGTCTGATAAATTTTCCGAGATATTGTAGTGATAGTTGGGATTTCTGGCGATTTCGACAATGTCGAAAAGGACGAAAGGCTTATCGGTCATAATAGTCGTGTTGAGGGCCTCGAGGGCCTTTTCTTTGAGACACAAACCAGGTTGGTTTTTGCCGAAGCACTCCCGGAAAGGTATGAGGCTTCTGTAAGTCTCCCTGTCTAATGAGACACTAGATTTAACAAAAAATAAAAGCACAACGGTAATAAAACGTATGGTGCACATGGTGGACGTTCAACAGACTGATATGGAAGAGAGCATTTTTGGATTTATATAAAAATGAGGATTACAAAGCGTGGCGATCGTTCCACAGAAACAAACTCACGAATTCGGTGCATACATATTTAAGAAAAAAATTAGGTGAATTTGATGCCTCGCTCCTAATGGCGGATTTTACGGTCTCTTTAATTTGGTGCCAATGTTGTTACTACAAAGTGCGTTAAATAATGTACAAGATAATAATTAAGTTGTTATTAAAAATTTTATTCTTTTTTGAGGAAAAATTTTGTTCTCGTTTTCACTCGGTTTCTAATATCAATTGTATGTTATTTGAACTTATTGGGTCATTTTTGGGGGCGGAGATTATTTTGTCAATTTAAACTACTGGTTTTTAATACATCACACAATTATTTCTTCAGTACGACCCAAATTTGTTCCGACTATGGTTTTATAGCGGTGTAGTGACAATTACCAAGTTTTGTACTTAGAAAACCTACAATTACCGCAATTAAAACGCACTTTTGTTACAGTTCAGTTAAAACGCGTTGAAATTTTCGAAAATGTAAATTATTGATGCAAAAGCTTTTTTGAGGTGTTATTTATAATTTTTTGAATAAAATTTGAAAAATCCAATTCATACACTTAGCGCTAATGTATTCAGCAGGTGTGTAAAAACTGTTAGATGTAATTTCTCTTGCATCCGTGTTTAAACTTTCCTTAGTCAATGTCAAGCGAGACATTACCGGTCGCGGAAGCTAAATTACTTAAGAGAAAACGGATCCATCTTTATGGATTGAGCTTCAAACAAAAGCTGTAAAATCTTGATTAAGCAAAACGTTTTTACTTTTAATAATAATTGAGAAAACTGGATAAAAAAAACAGCATTCCTGAGTCACTCTTATTGCTCCAGGCTGCGTGCTCTGGTAGACATTTAAACTTACATAACTGTAACGGAATTAATTCGAGTCAAACGTAGGTTGTCGGACGACAAAAACAAACATTTTTTGTACGATATGCCTTATTGAAATTCTTAGATATGTACCTACCTGTACATAGAAAGTTAAATGAAACTGTGCTGAAGGTAGCTTGAGGCCGAAGAATTCAGGACGCATCTGGTCATCAAAGAGATTATCTGATACGTGTCTAAGCTGGTTAGGCAGTAAAGCACCTAATTATTTTATTATTGTTTATTTATTAAAAAAAATACAAAATTAAAGTTTTTAAGTGGATTTTTGGACTTTTTCATCTTCACTCCAAGCGAAATTTCGACCATGAGTTGTTTTCTCGTCCGTAAAAAGTTTTTGAATCTTCCCATGGACTCGTAATTGGTCCACATTGTTGTTTTCTACGATCCCACGGTAATACACCTCCGGATACTCATCTTCAGGAAATCTGTAATCGCAAATTCTGAAATTTCTCCAACAAATAAAACCAAGTATAATGAAAAAAATTACCAATTTTTATAAAGGTACTTGTAGGTGGTCGTATCCTTCTTTTTTATAACTGTGTTTAAAAATAAGAGATAAAAGAAAAAATATTTTGGAATAATAAATCACCTATTGTGGTGGTGAAACTGTGAACTTCCGCCAAATCCGGGATTGAAACCTCCCGTTTGATACTGATTCGGTACTCTATTGCCATTATTTCCCAACAGTAAAGTCCCCAAACCATACGCACTGCTGATGACCAGTGCAATTTTGCTCAAAATGATTGCTTTTTTAGCAAGTAGTGCCAACAGTCCGAATAAAATTGGAATAAGAGTGGCAACATTGAACTTGAACCCCAACAAAAACGGTACAAGAAACTGGCGCGCAAGTAGTCGACCTACAAAAAGTGATTTATCAAAGTCATGTCTAACCCTTGAACTTGCAACAAGACCATGAAACTTTATACCATCTATGAATTTGTTGCGATTATTAAGTTTTGTAGAAATCTACTTTTAGTCGAGACGTAAACCTACCTGTACCAAACTCTTTGATTGAGTGTTTGTTGAGGATTTCACGTTGCGGATCTAACATAAACTCTAGTTGACCTCCCGGACTTGTAGAGGGCGCTACGCGCATAAAAAGTCCGGGATACAAAAATCCCATATCCCACTGTAAACTCCGGTGAGAAAATACATGGCTCAGTGAGTCGATCCACGTTCTGAAAAAAGGTTTTCTTATTAAACTAAGATATATTTTTATAAAAAATGGAAAAACTTTAGTAAAAAATGTTAATAAAAACTTTTCTCAAGTTACTTTTCAACATGTCTTGTTCATGAAGTTAAATCAAATTGAAAAAAATGGAAAAGTTAATTGACCGAAATTTCACTCAAACAAAAGATTAATTTCTAAGCAAGTTTTGTACCGAAACAAAAAAACTTTCTTAACAAACCTCCCATCCAGTTAATTTAATTGTTTGCCAAATAATTCATTAATCATTAATCTGTTACCTCAAAATTGTGAGCTTTATCTCGATGAAAAAGTCCTTTTGTCCCAACTTCCTCAACAAACCTTATTAAAGCGACTCACCGAAAATCCCCTGGATCTCTGTCGGCAAAATTGTACGTTTCTCTGTACTCCTGGTTCCTGCTCAAAGTAACACCGTCAATTAAATCAAATTCCTGGTCACTGTCCAAACTTCGCAATTTACTAATAGCTCCAACGCCAAAACAATGTCCCAAACTAACGGAGGGTTGCGAAACTAGACACTGTTTGAAGGATTCTTCAATAGAAGGATGATTAACACTATTACACGCCACAGAAATAATTATAAAGAACAAAATAATGGAGGACTTGTGTGTGTTTGGTGGCATTTTTCTAAAATAAGAGGGAAATTCGCAGAGAGGATCATATATACTAGACAATAGTCATGTCTGAGTGAATTTAAACTTTCAGTGAAAGTGCTCCGGAGGTAATTACCATTTTTTCATTGTTAAAGATAGACATCTTTTGTCTCCGAGTGAACTACTTTACATGCCAAGTGTCAATCTTACATTGGAAATTTTACACTTGAGGGATTAGGATTTCCTGCCGACTGTACTTTTAATTAAAATTTTTCTCTTCGTCCTGGGGTCATCCTAAATCGTCCTTTTTCTGAACAGGAAGTGTCTGCTTTTTCTTTCTTTGATATTTGAAGCGTATTTCCTGTACAATTTTTTTTCGTCTTACTCAATATCAAATCGATCGTGTGACAACTTAATTCTTGTGTGAATAATCAGACAAAATTAGAAGCGCACCAGTTTGTAATTAGTTCACCGAGTTTCTTTAAAAATTCATTCGTGACAAAGAATCGAAGGTACGAATTACGAAATGAAGGTAATTGTGTGAGAATATTTAAGCCAGCGGATGTTTTTTAAAATAAAAAGTGCAAAATTCGTCGTTTTATAACTAGCAGAAAATGTTTTCTAATTTTTAATTTCAAATTGCAAGGCAACATTTGAGATTTTGATGTACTTCTTGTGTATTGAAACAATTGGAACATATGTGACATTGTATAGAATGGTGGACTAAAAGATTGAATTAAGTGAAATCAAATACTTTTTCAAATAACAATAGTTTTGTCAACATGTTCTGATAAATAAGAGTTGTGTTTCTGCACTTTTAAGATTTTTCTTTTGTTGTTATTTTCATTTGCTGTAGCAAATGCCGACTTTACCAACTTTAGATCATCAGTGCAAGATTATCTTCCTTCCTGCAGAAAGTTACATAAAAGTAAACATAAAATTTCAGTTCTGATATTTATTACGCTTGTTTACCATGCACTTTTCCTTGTTTGCATATAATTTAAGTAGGTAGATACCTAACTATTTCAACTTAAATAAGTTTCCAGTTTAGTTTGATGGAAGTTTTTGTTTTTACTTAATGAGAGCTTTGATGTTGATTCGACCATTCTAAAGCTTTGGGTTTTGCGTCTAAGAAATCATTAATGGTTCCGATTGAGAAACCACAAATTACAAGATAGTCGAAGAGGACTATCGGATAACGGATTAGTGTAAGAGGAGATTTTAGAAGGACAAAGGATTAATTAATATCAGGAAAACGTATTTTGAGTGAATGAATAAATACTTAAATAAAACCGAATTTATTTTAAAACATTTCAATAAATAAATAAATAAATAAATTCCTAAATTAAAGCTAAAATTGTGTTAATTTCAGGTACCAGTTGAGGTTATTTGACATAAAAACCTGAAACTCTAATACTGTACTAAGTACCGTTAGGGGTTAGAAAGGCCGTCTAAGAACCGATTCTGTGACCTTTGTAAACCAATTCCTGACTGAAAGCTCTATCGTAATGACTGTAATCTTCGCCGTGTGAAACAGGATGTGCTACAACTTCATAAGTTTGCGTATGATGTTTCGATTCGACGAGCTTTTTCAATGCTATAATTCCTGCAATAGTCAGAGCGATTTTGGCCGCGAGCAAAGCTTTGAAAGCTATCATTGCAACAACTTTGAGGCCTATGGCATACATGGCTGCAGCTTTCATGGAAAACATCATCATCATCATTCCCATTCCGCCTTTTTTGCCTCCTTTCTTGCCGCCTCCACCACCTCCTTCTCCTCCTCCTCCTCCCCCTCCTCCTCCCTTGCGAGCTGTTTTAACAGAATATTTTTTCAGTGAAAAAATAACACATTCATATGGTGCATTTACCTTCTCCCGCTGACATGTCCAGATCCGAACTGATTGGAAATTTAAATTCTAGCGTATGTGATGACAAGTAATCGGTGATGCGCTCCAAAAGCATTCTATCCAGGATTGCCTCTCTTTCCAGTGTTTCATTCGGCAAACTTATTGGAGTGTATTCTCTTGCAAGTCGCCCTGAATCACTTTGTTTGATTCGTATTCCATTTCCGATATCGATATTGTTCGGGAGGCGCTCGATGAATTTGAGGGCTTTTTCCTACAAAGGCAAGGTGGAAGGTACAGTTAGGAGTAAACATAACGCATGATGAGAGCAATGATAATTTAATTGATGGGTCAGGAAGACTAACGGAAGAGATGACATTGTTTTGGTGAATGGGAGCAAAATTTGCGTGCGAATTGTGGGAAATTGCTTAAAAATGGACAATGCAGTAATGAGAAAAAACTTTTTTAACGTATTTCTTTCATACAATTTGAATTTTTAAGAAAATTTATAACCGTATTTAATAATTCATGCTTATATACCTTTTCAGTGCATACTAAATAAATTAACGTCGGATTTCCAATTGAAAAATAAATATTCCATGTGAAAATATTGTTGCCATTTTAACTTTTTTTATAAAAAGTACATAGTACAAATATTTAATTAACAAATTATTCTAAAAAAAGGTTTTTGTAACTATGAAATTTAAGGTGAATGTGAAGGTAAAATTTGCTTTTAATACATTTCTAATAATGGTTGGTAAAACAAAATAAAGAAAAAAATATATAAGTAGTAAGTAGGTATAATAGAATTTCGAGTATCTGAGCTTTTCAGTAATTCAAAATGAATATGCGTATTGATTTTAATTAAATGGGACTTTTCTTTTTTAATTAAATTTTTGCGAAAATAACTGAAACTAATCGAACGAATAAAAAACTTTAGTTCAATAAAATTTAAAACCATATTTTAATAAAACAATTTATAGATTTTTCTGAAAATTATTTGCCTAGCTACGGTAAAACAATTGTCAAATTGGATTTGTTCAACCGCAATGGACATATTCACAAATTCGTTTATAATAACAGCTTTAGAAAGAATGGCATTGACCGACCAAAAGGTCAAGTACAATTAAAAAAAAAATGCTGAAATACGGACCTTAAAACACAAAGTGAGAGACCTGGATCCACACTCATTGACGAAGAGGATGGCCTCTCTGTAGACGCTATCTTCGTATAAACTGTCAGCGAAGACATCCGTTAAGAACCAAAAGAAGAAGAAGAACACGTAAACCTTCATGTCTGCCGCACGAAGACACACTGTGATCCTTGGCTGATTGCGTCCTGGTTATATCAGGAGGAGAAGGCTAGGACTAGCCATTAAAAAAAAATTTATGATATCTGTGCTAGTTTAATGACTGTCTATGTTCTAGTTTGTCTAATGATCGTGTACAATACGCATTTATAGTAATTTGAAGTCTAGGATGGGTTTGAAGACCGGAAGCTCTATTTTCGGAGTGTTTTTATCAAAAGAAAGAAGAATTTGAATCGCTATTTTTCCCACGAATGCATGCACGAACACACCTCGAGGCTATCCGATTTATCTGTGCAAAATTAAATTAATTATATTTGAGAAAATAAGGTTTAGACATTAAAATAACTGTTTTGCTACTTTTCTGAAAGGCAGAGGTAAATTCTTGCAAGTTTGTACTGGACATTTAATAAAAATTGTTTCTCTGTCACAACAAGAAATAAATTCATTTTAAATCTGTCAATATTGTTTAAAGCTCCGGTTCGTCTGAAATTACTCAAACTGAAAATTCGATTTCTTTCTGTCTTTCAGTGATTTGCATTCAATTATTTATGCATGTTGAGCATTTTTATGCTTCTCACGTTTGAACGTGACTATAAGACTCCAGCCACCTGAAATAACAATTACTCGTATTTTCAATTGTGTCGAGTACGTTGAGTACTTGACTCGCTTAACAGCTAGTTTGGAAATTATCGATTTTAAGAAACCGTTTCAACTGTAAAGAGATATTGAGAATCTTGTCATTCTACTCTATAAATGTTTGATAACGTCAATTTCTTTCTCTATTAGATGCGGCGTTCTTCTGACATCCCATCTGCCACATGCTTATAGCAAATGAGTTTTATCAAAATCTAACAGTGCCAAGCACGAATCACCGGAAATAAATTAAGGTTAAAAACCACAAAGCACCAAAGTCGTCAAAATGTGTTAATTTATTTTTAATGTCGAGTGTTAGGTTGCATAACAGAGATTTTGAATTTTTAATTACAAGAAACAAAAGCTACGCTACGTTTTCATTATGAGCCATTTACTCTGTTAGTCTCTAATATGTTTTTACTTTTTCATGTTTTTTTTTACAAATATTTGGCAACGTTCACATGCAAAAAAATAAAAACGCGTTACTCGAAATCTGGGTTACCCTCGAAACATCTTTCAAAATACATGTCTCTAAAAACTCATTTTCTACATTAACAGTATTTATACTATCTAAAAATAAGGTTTTCTGTATACATACAGGCTGTCCCAGCGAGTTGAAAAAGTTTATTAGTGACATTTAAATGGTAAAATTAAAAAAATTATATAAGACATTGATAGATGCTAATCTAGTCTATCGCCTAAAATTATTTTCAACTATACATCGTGTCTCAAAAATAAGTTACAAAACAAACTTGTGTTTTTTATAATGAAACTCCATATGTTTCTTAACGTTTTTGGATGTAGATTTTTATAATAATGTTTTTAAGCTAAACGTTTATTGGTCGAATTTACTTAGTTTTAGAAATACGACGGTTACGACGGACTAAGACATCTAGAAATATTTTTTTACCACCGCAAAGAAGAAGGTACAAGCTATAAGGTTGTAATATGTATTTCTTTAGAGCAAAAATAAAAAAAATGAAGGCGTTTGTTAAAAGTTCAATAACTTAAAAAATCAAATGAAGCACTTTAAAAATTAAAATTAATTAAGCATTTTAAAAATTATTAAATTGTCTTTTTAAAATTATTTACTTTTAGGTAATGAATAACTAAAAAGATGGTGGGATTACTATGGTTGCCAGATATTGATATTGATAGGCATTGTTGCTACAATTAATACTGAATGTTAAATATCTTTTCATTTATCAATTCTTTTTTTTTATTTATTTTTTTGAAGTTATTACTTTTAACAAACTTCTTAATTTATTAATCTTTGCAAATGCAAAACAGCAAAAAAATTCTACAGCTTTAAACTCTGTACTGTCTTCTTGGCAGAAGTAAGAAAAAATTTATTCTAGCTGTCTTAGTTTTTGTGTAATAAATTTTTAAAAAGTGTACGTTTTCGTCAAAAAAACGTCTTATTTCTAAAACTAAACGAAATCGACTAATAAAAGTTTAGCGTAAAAACATTGTTTTAAAAGACTACATCCAAAAATGCCAAGAAACATAGTGTTTTATTTATTTTTAAAAAAACACAAGTTTATATCGTAACTTATTTTTGGGACATGCTGTATGGTTGAAAATAATTTTAGGCGATGCACTAGATTTAGTATCTATCAATGTGCTATACAATTTTTTTAAATTTTACAATTTAAAGTCACTAATGGACTTTTTCAACTCGCTGGGACTCCCTGTATATATAAATCAAAAATCCCTTTTGTAAAATAAATAAATAAATTATGTATTTGGTTTATATGATTTTTAAATAATTCTAATAATAAACAACTAAGATTGAACTACTATTGAAATGCTGCTGTTTTTTCTTTATTTAATTTTTTTGTATCTCTTCTATGTCGTTAAGCTACAAGCTATTAAAAGCGTCTTATTAAAAAAAATGTCCCTAATCATGACCGCGGCTTTGACAGTCAATGTTAGGTTTCGAGACGGAACTAATTATCACTTTCTAGCGTTAAATTATTGTTACATTAATTATGCCACAAGCTTTTTTATTAAGTCACATAATCCGCCAAGGGAAAGTATATATTTTTTTCCATCCGCTCTATTTGAGGTGATTATATTAATGTAACGAATCGTCAAGTCGACCGCGAAACAAGATGACTGATATCAGACCATCGTGCTGGTTTACTTACGCCCAAAGGCCACAGTTCGAAAGTAAAATCTAACGTAATAATAGACCAAAGACGAAACTTTATTAAATAGATACAATAAATAATTGTAATAAATTAAAAATTAAAATAAATTAAATTATGTTGTTTTGGGAACATAGGCACTATAAGCCAAATTCTGGGCTTGTTCTTTATCGTAGGAGCGTCCCCAACTGGATCCATGACCTCCGGAAACGACAACTTCGTGTCCGGATTCGTGGCTACCACCACCACCACCACCTAACAATTTCTTCAAACCGATGATTCCAGCAAGCACCAATGCTAATTTCGACACAATTAAAGCTTTACCCGCCAACAAGGCTAAAGCTCCGAGAGCTAACGGAACAAGAGTTCCACCCAAAATCAAAGGAATGAGAAGAAGACCCATCCCTTTCTTGCCTTTTTTGCCACGACTTTCTTCACTCAAAGCTGAGGGTAGTTTGACCTAAATAATACAATTATTATTGGTTTTTGGGGGGAAATATCGTACCTGGAGAGTGTGAGTGTCGAAGAATGATGCGATTTTATCCGCAATCATATTATTGAGTGCTGAATCACGTTCATTGATAGCCCTTGGAAGAGTCGCATCGTATTCTTCTTCAGTTTTCACTTCGTTCAAAGTCACCGCTTTGGGATTTTTGACGAAAGAAACTCCATCGAAAATGGGCAATTCGGCGTAATTTCTCGCGACTCTATCCATGGCGGAGATGAGTTTCAGTTTGAGACACGGTCCTAAATCCTTGGCTGCACATTCTTGATACACTTTATACACGTAACGTAGGTCACCCAAGTAGGAATTCTCCTGGCTTCTGGGTGTGTCATCTTCTTGGATGGTGTTTTGTTGAGGGATGGCAGATCGGGCCCATGCCGATGCAACAATGACCAAAACTAAACACTTGAACAACATGTCGCCGGTAACTGATATAAATTCACTTAAGACAAGTATATATAGCGCGGTCCCACCTTTGAAATTTCTTTTCGTGGTAGGTTTATCCCCTCTGCGGTCAGTGTTATGCGTTCGTGACATTGACCGAGACGAAAACAGATCGAATTGAAAATACGGACATATCCTAAGCGTGCCGTCACAGCTTATGGCCGACCAATTAACATGCGAACGCAGAAACTTCGCAAGTAGACCAAAACTGGACTGGAATGCCAATTAGACAAAGGTCCAGTCAGAGAGGACTTAAGTGGAGTAAGACGGATGGACAATGTCAAGGACGCCAACTTAACCCTCACCTACTTACAGGAGGGTCGACGCAGTCACGTGTCGACACACCTGTCTAAAATTTTGATGCTTTACTAGCGTTTTTTCAACTCTAGGACTTTCTGGACTGTTCCTGTTGACCCTCATACAGGGTGATCGGTACTACTTTTTTTTCAAAAAAATTTTTTTCTAATAATACTATTAGTCCAGTCAGTAGGGAGTTTTGCCCTACAAAATGTAGTAGTAATTTTTTAATATGTTGTTAAGGTTTAGACCTTGACAAAAAATCCAAGTTTTCGACCTTGGGTTGGAACGCTCGAGCCGCCATCTTGGATGAAAGGTACAAAAATTAGGTTTTTCCAAAATACTTCCGCAGCGGTTGATTCTACGGCAAAAATGTTCAGATAAAAGTTAAAGAAGACAAAATTGCTCACATTTTTCCCAAAAAAAATTCGACGGTGAATTTTGTAAGAACAAATTACACTTGTTTGTAATGTTTTTTCCGCACCACAATAATTAAACAACGATATCTATTTTAAATTACACTGATTTTTCATGTTACATATAGGGTTATTCATAAATCATAAATAAGGCTTGGATTATATGCAAAATGCATATTTGTTATTAAGAGGTATATCAACAAAATTATAAGTTTTTTATGCATATTTGATGTTTTTTGATTAAACTAGGACAATTAAAAAATGCATATTTTGGCAACTTCGTGCATATTTTAGGAAATATTGCAAATCACAAATTTCTAATTAAAAATTTCAGTTCAAGTTAAAAATTAGACAGTTTAAGAAAAAAGATCCGATTACAAAATATGTTAAAGAAAAAAATTGTTTGAACTTTTGAGATTGCCATAGTATTAATATTTTTTTCTTAAATAAAACGGTTTTTTATTTATTCTTTTACAAAGAATGCATTCATGCATTTTATAAATGTACAAAAATATTTATTAAAAATGTTACAATTCATGTTAAAAAAAATTATAAACTTTATCTGTCAAAATTTTCTTTCACTGGCCAAGGGGTGGTACGTTTAAACAATTAATTAAAATAAAAAATATCTTGGCATCGCTTCTTTACAACCTTTAAACATTCATCAATTTATTTAAAAAAAAAACGAGTAGTTTATTAATAAAAAATTCTTGTAAGTCAAACATTTTTTTAACAAAAAGTGTTAAAAGTTTACAAAAAAATTGCACAGCAACAATTCTTGTAACAAGCTCGATGTCTAGAAAAAAATTGTGCTAGATTTCCATTTATAAAAAATTGTTTTTATCTCGTAAGTATAAACAATTAATTGATATTCAATTTTTCTGGAATAGCAATTCTATAGCCATTGTACACCTATAATTTTTTTTTCAAAAAAATTGACAGTTTTGCCAGAAAATAATAAGCGTTTCTAGGCTTTTCGACCACGCTGTATTTTGATCAAATGGTTCAGAAGTTATTACAAAAAAAAAATTTCATACCCACGTTCTGAAGGCTGTAAAATTCTTATCAGTAGAGGTAGGACACGAGTTATTATTAAATTAACATCGTTTTATAGGTCATTTTTGAGGTTCAAATATTGCTTCATATTTATGAATAACCCTATATGTAAAAAGAAAAATCAGTGTAATTTGAAATACGGTATAAAAACATTAAAAACAAGTGTAATTTGTTCTTACAAAATTTACGGTCGAAAATGGAGGGTGTGCTATTTTTCTGGGAAAAATGTTCATCTTACCGCCGCTGTAACTCCTTACACATTAGACTTACAAAAAGAATGTTGATACAGAAAATGTGAGGAATTTTTGTCTTCTTTAACTTTTTTCTGAACACTTTTGTCGTAGAATCAACCGCTGCGGAGTTATTTTGGAAAAATCGATTTTTCGTACCTTTAGATCTTAATAACATATTAAAGAATTACTACCATCCCACCTTTTGTAGTGCAAAGGCCTTTTTTGGCCCCTACTGACTGGACTAAGTGTTTTTTCAACGCTAGGACTTTCAGGACTGTTCCTGTTAACCCACATATTTTAATTTAATTGAAAGACTTATTACGAAAGTGTGCTTTCTCTCGTTAGTTCTGAAGCAAGTATTGGATTGGACATTTTCAGTGTTTTCACCGATTTTCCAAAAATCTAAATTATTGTTCCTATTTATGTCGACCAAGTTGAGCATGAAACCTAGATGACGAATCCCTTGACCCGAAAGCTCTAGAAAGTCTCAGGGTGGGTCCAATCGTCATAGAATCAGCCCCGCTAATTCATGCGCAAAAGTTGTAAACTTTCTCCGATACGTAATCACATTCGAAAGTAATTCAGATCTTCGTCTAGTCCAAGTTCAACATCTTCCGGAAATACCAACTCCGGTGTCGTGACCGCAAACCACAATTATTTTTTTTTAATTTTTTACCCCGGAGCTTGTTTCGTCTTGCGCCCCTGAAAGCGTTAGGGCCTTGATCCTAAAAGCGGTCACTAGGCCGGAGCAATAACCGATATGACTATTTGGTTTAGGTGTCCAGGGCCGGATTGAGAAGAAACCGCTAGGAATTTACTCTTAGTCACTGGCCGATAATTAATCCAAAAGTTGAATTTACTTAACTTTCTTCCATTGTTTCCTCTTAACCGCTATTTGGATGAGTAAACCACAAAAATGATTAATTAATTGGGGAAATATGGGGTCATGTGTTTTTATTAATCTAAAGCTAAAGTTTGTACTGATTTTTCTCAATTTGCGTTTTTTACATACCAATTGGTCTGTGAAATTACTTTTTCTTGCCTCTAATTTGGGGAGGTTGCAAATTATAAAAAGTTAATGACGTTGGTTGGATCTTAATCAACGAGGTTGGACACAAAAATAAAAGAACTTTTTTTTTAGTTAACACTCAAAAGTTGCACTTTCGAGAAATTTTATTGTTACTTAGTTATTAAAATTTCTTTACTTTGTTAATTGTAATCTTTTGTTCCGTTAGCCAATTACAACATTATAGAGAATTTATGTTTAATTATTATTAAGAATTGTGATTTCACATCGCATATGTTCACATGTCAAACATGTTGGTGCTGTCTTTACGTGTATTAACAGTTGAGTTATCTTTTTGTTTTAATAACAAATGTTTCAAGTATGTCACATATTGTAATTAATTTTAATGAGTGAAAATGTCCAATTTTTTACGAAAGAAATGTTTCAAACAAATTAATTCAAAAAGAATTGGTTAGATAACGTGCTCCTCATCTAAAATATTCTCACATAATTGTTATTCTAAACTTTTTACGCCTTGCAATTTTCCACCAAATCAATTCCGAATCTATTAAACGGAAATCGGAATAACACAGGTGTGTGTATGTGAACTAAATACCGCTTAACAAACACAAATTTTTCGACAAATAAACGTGGTGGCAATATGAGCAAGAAAACATTTTCCAATTAACACATCGCTCATTAAAAATAAATCGAACATCGAAAGTGATTCGGAATAAACGAAACGAGACTGTTTAATGAAAGTTACAAATCCTGAGTATAGAGCACTTTCGTCTTCGGATTATGCTAATTTGCAAAACTATTTTAATTAGAAAGAAAACAGTTATATCACTTTTTTTTCATCGTGTCATATTTCCGCGATTGTTATTTTTCTTTAAGAAACTGGGCCACTGTATGTGGTTTAATGTGTCACAAAGCTAATACATGATTATGTATAGATAGGTAATAATTTTATCAAATTGGCTTATCGGAAGCATGAAAATGAACTTGTCGGTTTCACTTTGTTGTTTTCGATGATATGACAAAGTTATGTTTTTTTGGTCGAAAGATGAGTAGTGACATCTTCACTTAAGTAACCATACTAAACAATTGGACTAGCCCCACCACCCACCACTGTCCTACTTAAGTCACTTATAAAAAATTGTCGCCATGCAGGACTGGCAGTGCAACCAACATGAACTAAGCTTTGGAATTTGGAAATTGGAAATGTAAACTGTTTAAAATGTAATTTATTAGCGAGGAAGTATTTTTGATTAAGATGTTTGCTTGTTTGAGAAAAAATTAATTCGCTTTTGTCTATTCTTGTTGCATGTTTTGAAGCGTCAAAACAAGACAAAACTGATTGCATGTCTTCTACTTTTCCGTGTTTTTGCACACCAGTGCACACTTACAAACGGTTCCACTATGTTCCATCTAATTTAAGAACAACTGTCAGATGTAGTCATTTTTATGGAAAATTTTGTTTTATTTTTCACAATTTATATTGCTTAATATTACGTCACTTGAAAATGGCGTTTAGTACCAAAAAAAATTTAAATAATATCTTGAATCAACTGTTTTGTGACTAATGGATAAGACTGGTAGTTACCTAGCTGTAAAGTGTTTCAGGCCAATCGTGTTTTCTAGTAAATTTTTATGGAAACACGAAATTCCATTAAAGCAAATAAGATTTTGTGTTTATAGTGACGATCGTAAAATATACAGTTTATTTTATAATTGACATAAATTTCATTATTGAAATAACAATATTTCATTAATAAAGGACTCGTACCATCTGATAACAATACTATTGAAAATCTTGTGAAGATTAATTGTCCTCGTTTCAATTAACCAATTCTCTTGTCACACCAAAGTAAACTACGGGTCCACGATCCTGCTGAGTCTACATAATCCTATAAAAACAGGCCGGTAATTAAAATGTGTGGGATAATTTTGAAAAGATCAATTGAAAATGGTAAAATCCCTTTTGTTTTAAAGTAACAATTAATTAAAACTCCCGAAGATCGATCGATTTTTCTCCGGAAATGTAGTTCGAGTCATCGTCCTCGACATCTGGTATCCCGTTGAACTCCTACTTAAATAAATCAGTGATTGACCGAGAAAGTCAGGTGTGGTGTACTTAACCTTGAGTATCCCTTGACCGATTAAAACTCTCTCAAAGTGTTTACAATTTTATTGACTTGACAAAAATAACACTTAGACTTAATCCTAATCTAGATCTAGTATGGTATTTTAGTCTTTGTCATCGTTAGACTAATAAATACATAAATAAGATAAATAAGAAACAGAACTAGATGCTCGCTGAGAATTCGCAGGTACACAGGTATGACCGATTACTGGGCTTGAGGGTGTCCCCTGTAGGCGAGTTGTTGAGCATCTAGAGACCTGCCCCAACCTCCGTGTCCAGAAGAAGAGTATCCGCCGCCGACGTCTCCGCCATAACCGCCGCCTCCACTACTACCTCCATAGACGGTTTCGTGGCTTGCGACGTGACTAGAAGAATGTTGAGGGTGGGAAACCACTTCATAAGTGACATGTTTGCCACCTTGTCCGAGAAGTTTCTTCAATCCGATGATTGCCGACAACACCAAGGCAATTTTACCGATGAGAAGGGCTTTGCCGGCGATCAAGGCAATACCAGCAAGGGCCAATTTTCCTAAGACTGCAGCTTTAAGAGCGGCCGCTGCCATCAAAGGTCCGAGGATTTTCTGTGCCTTCTTCTTCTTTCCACGTCCTTCTTCTTCCAAAGTTTCCTCTTCGGAGAGGACATCGTTGAAGGATCGGGCAGTCGAAGTGACAGCATTGACGATATCGGAGCCTTTAAGATCAACCTTGATGGTATGTGATTCCAGGAAGGATTGAATTCTGTTCCAGATGAGCCCTTCAATGGTTTCGTCGCCGTTTAATGCTCGTGGTGCTCCATCCGAATCACTTCCTGTTTTGATAATTTGCACTCCTTCCGTCACTGTGATGGTATCCTTGTGTCCCAACATCTTGTCGACGAAAGAGAAGAGCTTGTACTTGAGACATGAGGTGGTGTCTTTCCGAAGGCAGTCGTTGTAGATGGTGTCCAAAAGGTCGTTTTCGGTCTGAAGGGCGTTTCTTGCGTTTTCTTGGGCCGGCAGAGCCGCAGCGACCGCGATACACAACAACAGGATTGCTGGCTGCATGATGCGTTATCGGTGTGTGATGTCGTGAAGATGGTACGCCTGTATATATGAGTCTTATCCCTCCTACTCAGAGGCTTAGCACAATTTGGGTCCGGAGACTATAATGACGGCCGCGGGGCGATATCTTGGACCGCTTTCTCATTGTAGCTGCTAACCTCGTTTTGGACCTGTGTGCGATATGCACCTAAGGTCTATGCGCTTCATAGCACCCACAATTACACATTGCTTGTTCCTGATGTCCAACACCGGAAATAGAGGGCGGATTAGGTCAACTATCGGGTCACTGTACCTGACCCGGCACACATAAGGTGCTACCAACGTAATCTAGTTCAATTCTCTCTTCTCACAGCTTCACTCTCGCTTACTGACATGCATCGCAGATCACAACAGTAAAAAAACAAATCACAAAAAATCTTAGAATTTGGATTACATCATTTATCGACGATAGAAAGCAAAATTTCGTCTAGACTTGAAAAAAATTAGAACGCTTTACAAGAAACATCAAAAATTATAATTCAACACGCAACGTTGTCGCACACAATTATGGTAAAAATTTTATTTAATGGAATTAAAATAATAATTTACAAAAAGAGGAAAAAATAAAGCAACTGTGCCGTTTCTAATTTAATAAATAATATAGATGAAAAAAATAAATATATTTTTTGTGCTCATTGGCGAGCAAGTTCAGGGCCTTAATTGGGTGTTCCGCCAGGCCAAAATCGAGGTCCGCTTTTTACAATTGTAAAAACTGCAATTAGTCTTTTTTTTTTCGGTTGAACTTGCTTCAATACAGGACAAGTTCAATGTGGGTCATTTTGTCCTTGGTCACTTTTACTTTATTTACGTACCGGATATGTACGCATCAGTGAAAAGTCTGATGCTTTCTTTTCTAGGAGAATCTTGACCGTTGACAAGTATTGTGTTGGGGTACAACGTTTTATTAATGACCTACTTGCTTCAAAATCCACATTTTGAATTTCTAGTCAAAAGTAAAAGTTGCAAGTAGTTTAATCGTTTTGTTAGGATAATTTGCAAGTTTGAGTACTTGGCAAATTGGAAGGTGTACAAGCATTAAAAGTAAAACCATGTCAAATCATAGTTACATACCAAATGGGTTATTAATTCAAAGCCTCTAACTGTTTTCCATCGGGAATTTGTATGTATTGATGTCAATATATTATTATTACAGGGCGGAGGTTTTCGCAGTTTTGCAGGAAACCTGAATATCATTGACTGAGTTTTACAAACCGGTTTTTGTGAGAGTTAATGTTTACTTTTATTTTTTAATTTTTAAATTTGTTTAATAATAATTTTAGTTGTTTGAATTGTCGGGAAATTAGTTTTAAACGTATACAGGGTGTTCGGGCCAAGTCGCCCCGGCTGATGACACCTAAACTTACTTCTTTTTACAAAAAGTAAATATTTAAGTAATAATATTCATTCTTGGCTTTCTTAGTAAATGTATCAAATTTTTTTAGCACATCAGGTGTTGCCGGAAATGCTACCAAATTTAGTTTTTCAAATGAAACATCTATATTTTTTTTTCCTCCAAACAATAATAATTGACATGAAAAATACTGTGAACCACTATTTATTACATTTTGCGTAACACAATGCAATCAAAAAACATCTTAAATCTTAGAATTTTATAAGGAAATTGGTCGCGTAGTCTGATTTTTAATTTTGAAGGAAAGGTGTGAATAAAAAAATGCTTCAATGCAGTTTAATTGTTGGTTTGACAAATTTAATTTGTCAGTTGATGAGCGAATTCTCTTAGGGAAACTCTTAGATTTTCTTCTATACTGTCTTTCAGCTTCCGCTCTATTTTTATTGCACTTAAAAAACACTTCAGGCTAATCTACCAATTCGTCGTAATTAAATATCATCCATTATTAAAGATGTCAATAAAATTTATTGACAAATTCGGCTTTGTCAAACTAACAATTAAACGGTATCCAAGCATATTGCTTTTTGCATGAATACCTTGACAAGTAAAATCTGCCTACGTTGTAAAATTTGCAATAAAATTCAAAAATTTAAATTGTTTTCTGAGTGCATTATGTAAAGTAAAATGTAATAAATAGTGGTTAACCGTATTTTTCATGCCAATTATTATTGTTTCGAGGAAAAAAACAAGTGTTCTATTTGAAAAACGAAGTTTGGCAGCATTTCCCGCCACACCGGATGTGCTAAAAAAATTGATACATTCATTAAGAAAACCAAGAATGAATATTATTACTTAAATATTTACTTTTTGAAAAAAAGAAGTAAGTTTAGGTGTTATCAGCCGGGGCGACTTGGACCGAACACCCTGTATATGTTTCAATGTGGCCTTTGACCCTGACATTCTCTTGATTATTGACTTACTTTAAGACTTGGAAACTTAATTGTTTCAGTTTTTTACAAGTTTGTAATTTACAGTCTTCTTGTTGGCAAACGTTATTACCAAGTATTTAAGTAAGGAAAGCGATTGCAAAGTTTAGTGTTTAGTATCAAACAAAAAAAGTTAAGTCTTTCAAGCTCATCAAAGTGAAAAACAGTTTCATCGTCGAAAAACGGAACCTCTGGCGATGACATCAACTGATCAGAATGCGATCACAGAGAGAACATGCAAATATTGTCCTCAACACCTGAGCTTGTCATTTCAATTTAAACAAGAAAAAAATTTCCCTTATTATTAAATTTCTTGTCTTCTTCAATTAGACCAGAAATACAAACCTTTATTGGTTCTCAGTCAGCATGAAATTATTATTGTCATTACTAAAATTAGGCCGTATTTTGCACTATTAACATTTCATATTGCTGTCTGTATAATAAGACGCACAAAACTCACCTAACCAATAATCAGAGAAAAGTGATAGCTATTCCCAGTTAAATAACTGTTCCTAGCAAAAAATTTGCCGCGGGATAAACGAAACTAAGAGTTGCAAACTGGAATTGCATCCTATGTGAATTTCACTCTAATGTCTGCTATTATACTAATTGAAAATCTCACGAGAAGCTAAAATTTTGTCACTGGCAGATTGATTAATTGAAAAAGGCGACTACACTTTTGGCCGCAGGTAATTTTTGATAATTGGGACGAAAAGGGACAATTAAGTCGTCACCGCTCGTGGTCTATCGTATATTTTATTTGTCGTAAAGTTTTAGAACAGCTTTCGTTACATATTTCCATTAGTCACCAACTGACAGGTGCCAAACTTATAATCTTATTAGATTCATGATGTATATCAAATCCATGTCGAATTCAATCAAAATGAAAAAGAGAGAACAAAACTCAAACAAGAAAATTGTTTAAAAGCCCTTCGTTTTATATTCTCGCACCCTTATATCGGCATATCACATAAACCCCAGTTGAATTCAATCCCGGAATCGTTTACAGAAAATATAAATCCGGGCTCGATTCCGGTTCTTTTCCTAATTTATTCAATCAACGAGTAGTCGAATTGCGTATGTTGAAAGTTTGCCAGTGAAAAAACGTCTTTAATAATAATAAAAGCGGTTAAATTACTATTTTTAATTAAAAATCATAGAATCCACAAGTGTTTTAGCACTTTCAATTAAGTTAGGTATAAAGTTTTCCGGAGAGAATCTTTAACCGGAACTGAATTCAATATTTGCCTTGCTGAAACGGCTTTCTGGCCTTTTCAAAGAAACTCAAAGTGATACACGCACGTTAACACTTGTCTTTGATCAAATATGAAAAAGGTGCAATTGTAAGCGCAACTAAGCAAAAATCGGGTCGACGATTGAACCGAATGATCCACTGAGTCAATCATCGACTTCGTTTGAGTTTCGATTTTCTGTATGATTTGGTGTTTTTGGCATTCCGGTGTGACATTAACTCTATTTGTCTTATCCATAAGCGGCGTTAAAATCGAAGCTTGCAATACTCATCACGTCTAATGGTTCCATTAAAAAGAAACTTGTAGACATTTTCAAAGCGGTTCAACGAGCAGCTGAGAGCAATTGCAGCATTAATGTGACGGATGAATCTTCCCTGAAACAAAGTGTAACTTTATAGCTTTCATATTTTATTGAAAATTCAAGTGTTTTCGGGGTTAAAACTCATTCAATGCTTAGTAATTGTGTGCGAAATATCTCCGACACAGATATGCAAATCGTGATTTCTACAATTTGTCTTGATGTTAAATGTTATAGTTTAAAGGTAGTATTGTATTGGAGGTCAGCGCTTCTGGTATGTGAGAAATTTGATGTTGAGGTCAAGGTCTGAAACAAATTTCTAATATGAGAGCTGGTAGGCAACCCAATAAACATAACTTAGATGAGGTGGAAATAGTATTTGAATTTTTTACGGATAAATATTTTACTTTGATTAATTCAAGGCGGTAAAGTGGACTCGCTTGCTACTTGATGCTAATTGCATGTAGAGCGTCACTAACCAATTTACTTTGATGTGAATCAGTAAGAGCATTAGAGCAATTTGGGGCCAAATGGGCAAAATATATGAGTTTAATGTCTAAACCGAAGGGATTTATTAAAACATTTCAAATTTAAACCAAATTACAAGTTTCATCAACTTTTTTTCAAAATACCAGAGCAAAAATTTGCCTTCTTGAGCAGCATTCAAAGGAAATGACTTTCTTTACTGTTTTCGTTGTGTCAATATTAAACACGGCTTCTAAGACAGAACTAATAAATGACACATTACCAGTTATTAGCTTTTGTTAATTTTTTCTGTGATTCATTCATAAATTCGAATTTTTTTAATCTCATGTGGCAATAAATTTGAATCACCTTGCCCGTGATCTTTGATGAATATTCATTGATAATAATCGTCTCGTGTAAACAAGTTCAGGAGCACGCATAGTCTTGCTTCGTCTCGGCTGGTGCAAATGTAGGTCTCTGGGTCTTGATCATATCCTTATAAAGCCCGAAGAAGTTCGGCGAGCAGCGGCAGAAGCACTCGATTCGTCCAATGCAGCACTTCGTTCAATTCTTTACCTTGACCGTAAAGTTCATTAAGATTGTAAGAGAGAGAGCACACTTAACCACTTGATTGACCCAATGAGCTCGATTCAATCCAACACTTTCTATTTTCCCACCGAAAATGTCGACATCTTTTGAACCTGTTGTTGTTTTTTTTCTTTCTTCTTTCAAGTTCAATATCTTTCTCTCAAGTTCCTCATTCCATAAAACCAGTCTAATGGATCGGGGTCAGTGTATTTCTAGGTAATGACCATTCATTGAACTTGGAGATTTCCAAAGAAGAAAAAACTGAGGAATGGATGGAGAAATTGGTTGTTGATTCGGGTCAATGTTAATAAAAAGCCGGATCTTATGATTCAGGTCTTTATTCGACCAATAATTAACAAAACATAAATTAAATAAATAGCACTGAGCGGTAAAAATTGTAAACCTGGTGACTCAAGACTTACAAATAATGTAAATCTTAGCTATCCCAAAGTTACTCCTATAGAAATATAAACTAGAAGAAAATCCTAAAGAAAGCAGAAAATGAAGAGTAACTCCGAAATCCATCGGTCACCATTCGATTCACTCAAACTAAATAAATAGTCAAAAGAGCACTTCCACTTTAGCTGGCATTGTAAGCATTCCAGGCTCTGTAGGCCATATCGGCTGCTTCTCTCTTCTTCCTGTACTCATGACCATGGCCGCCATGAGTGGCATGGATGACAGTATGACCACCTTCATCATGTCCCGAATGAACTAATTTCTTCAAACCGATAATGATGGACAACATCAAGGCCAATGCGGATACCATCAAAGCTTTCATTGCCAAAAGACCGACACCACCGAGACCGATTGCAGCCATCATTTTCCCCATCATCAAACCCATGATGAGAATACCACCCATACCGCCGCCGCCTTTTTTGCCGCCGCCACCGCCGCCGCCGCCACCACCGCCTCCACGAGGAGATCCTGGAAACAACAATTAAAAAAAAACTGTAGGCAACTACAAACACACAAAAAGTGAGTTTTACTGGTTGCATAACCAATGTACAGTGGAATGCCTAAGTAAAGAAACGTTCAACTCTAGGATTTGATCAATGGGTTTGCTCAGTGAATGGAGAGTGGCTTTGGTTTAATTCAATTATTTAGTTTAATCAATTTTTTCTTCGGTCTGATTCTTTGAGTGGACTTGCAAATATAATAACTGTTAGGAAAATACAGGGTGTTTCACACAACTTTACGAGGCTTGCGTCTAATGTACGCACCCAAATATACAGGGTGGGGCATCGGTTACGCGCACTTGATAAATCGCGACTTCAAATTAATTAAAACTGGCGATATTTCATATACCTAACTAATTATTGATAGGGTATAATTTGAGAATTTTTCTAATTTTTTTGGATAATAAATGAATCCGTAACAGTTTTGTGTGTTTTATGAATACTTTCTGTTAATTTACCTACACTAAATGAATCTGTACCTGTCAGCGCATCAAAATTTGATATCACCATTTCAAATTTTGACTTGGTTATCCAAATAATCGCTTTTTTTATTTAAACACAAACCAGACCCGTGATTTAGGTATGACAAAATGATATAATTTGCCAACAAAAGAATCATTTACTGGTAGCCGACCGCTATAAAGGGTCTTTTTGTTGTAAACCTAGAATCTTACCCAAACTGCAGTTCCCCATTGTCACCTAAATTTACGATGGCACAAGTAGCAGGTCATAAATAAAAATGATTTTCAAAGTTAAGATGGAAAATTGCGTTTAATTCAAAATCTAATTGGATTTTTTTTCTGATTTTGTAAACAATTATAGGAAGTGAATCTGCGTAGGTCAGTATAAAAATTAGAATTAAAATTTTTATGAGAAAATTACTTTTTATTTTTTTTTTGGCTTTGTTTGTGAATGAAAAATTACCAAAAAATTAGAGAATGTACCTTACTAATGCCCAGGTAAGTGTGAAAAAATTCAACAATTTTATTTAATTAGAAGTGGGGATTTTATTTTTGGGCCTAACGGATGCCCCACCCGGTACAAAAGTCACAAACACTAGATACAAAAAATACACATTGAATTATTTAATTTTTGGAAACCATGACAAAAGTTTTCAAACTAATCAATGTTTTATTAATAGTCATAAACTGCAGTTTTTCAGAAACAATTATCATTTGTTCTTTCAAGAAACGGCATGAATATGATTCTAGTTTATCTATCTTAATCACTAACTAAGTAAAAACGTTGTAATTTTTGAAAGAGTGAACAAATTAGAAAAGATTATCCAATTTTTCAAAATTCGTAATTGAGTTTGTAAGGGAATATGTATTACTGATTGCATCTTACAGGCGCGTGCCTCGTAAAATTATGTGAAACACCCTCTATACCTACTAAATGATCAATTTTTGAACATTTTTATTCAAATTAATTCATATTAATTCTGATAACATGAAAAACCATTTTTTATCTTTTTAACTTTTGTTTTGTTTTTCTGTCAAGGATTTTTTATGTTTTTTTATTTATATTTTTTAATAAAATTTGAAATATTCACTTTGTGACAATGTAACTTTAATTAAAAAAAAATAAAATAATATCTACACAATTGCAGTATTTTTCCTAAAAATTAAGAAGATAATACATAATAAAGCAAAAAGAATAAAAGTTTTTTTGACCATTTTGTTTATTTATTCGCTTCCTAAAGCAATGGTTCCAAATTTGACTTTAATTTTTATAGTCACTTGACGTTTTTTCAAAATGTTTGAATGTAAAAAATGAAAAAGTGTCCATACCTGCGTCGTTGCCTTCAATGTTGTCCAAGGCGTCCTTGAAAGCCCTTCCAAATCCTTCTCCAGGCATGAGTTCTGGTAGCCTGATCCTGAGTTCATGGTTCTGTAGGTAGTTTTCAACGGCTCCAAGAACAGTCTTGTCATCGGTGTTAGCCCTTGCGTCGTTTTCGCTCCTTACACTGACCAGATGCACTCCATCGCTAATCTTAACATCGTCTGGTTGCGAGTTAAGATATTGTCTGACGATTTTGCCAAGGATCTGCATCCCATGACCGATGTCCGCCGTCTCTGCATCCGCCACCGTCACAAACGCCGCCGCCGCCGCCACGGCCAAGAGCAACACCAGAAGCTTGCACATGATGTTGTTGCGGACACTGAAGCAATGTGGCTTCCGTTGGTCAAAACCGCGTTTATATATCCTAGCAAAAAAAGTGGCTGCTTTTCATCTAGTAGAGCTTAATGGAGCATAGACGAGGAAAAAATAAAGCAATAATTTAGATCGACTAGTCCATCTGACCCGGTTAAGCGAATTCCACAATCTCTCTGTGTACAAGTGCGATTCTTGTATGGCCGCTGGTGATGGTCTTCATCTCCTGATTTTTTCTCGATGATATCTAGAGCGAGTTAAGGTCAGCTGATACGAGATTCTAACGCCTTTTCGCTAATTAGAACGCAATCAGAACACATCCGGACGGGCCTTTCAAATCCACATCTTCTACTTAAATACAAGCCATTCGAGGATTCTTCTCACTTGCACTCTGCAACCCTCCGGAGACGGAACACCACTTAACGGTCTTCCAAATTGTTTCAAACGGGATCTTTCAGACAATTATGCAGAGTAGTTTTTTCTACGGAAATTTATAGCGACCTGGTTTGATTATTAAACAAGTTTAAGGGACAACTCTCGCTCTTTGGTTCTAAATTATGTGCATTGTTCAATGTGGAAGAGTGAAGGAAACACATCGATTAAAATCAATAGTGTACACAAGTGTTTTTATCGTGTTTCAAAAACATGTCATTTCTCTCAAGTGTCGCAAATTATTCATTTTTAATTAATTGGAACGGAAACATTGAACTCTACAATCCGTGATCTGTAAAACGATGAAATTCTAAGAATCCAAACCTTAAAATTATTCTTAATTAGTCAGATACGTTTTATGGACTTTACACATTTTAATCCAAGTGTTTCAAACTAGTTCTCGCTTGCTTTAATTAAAAACTTTATATTTTTTTATGATGATCTGCTATCTTGTTTTCACCTTTCAACATTACCAACATACATCTTTGTGAAAGTAATAAACAATAATCTGACACTATGTAAAGATAACAAACACGACTCAGTACATTATAAAATTTTATTGACATTGTTTACCAGATGTGGTATACACAGTGAGATTCGAAAGCACTTGGTGGTTTTTAAAATCGTTAAATTACTCTCAAAACTTCAAACAAAATTGCTGTACCAACTTTTCTTGGGTCAATATAATTGTTCAAAAATGCAACTTTGATATCAATTTTTATTTATTAAAAAAAGGTATTTTGTGTTTTATTAGTAAGAGGCGTTAAAATATGAATCTAAAATATTAAAAAAAGCTTTAAAAATAAGTTCAAGTTGTATAAAATAGATTTTCCGAAGGAGTAAAGTTAGTAACAGTACAGTAAAAATTTCTTTTTTTTCTATAATAACAAACGTTTCAAATTATTGACTGCAAGCACAAAATGGTTCAAAATGTAGACATACTTTAGCATTGCTAATTTGAGCCATATTAAAAAAAAAATATATTTTTAAAACTACGCTGCCTAGAAAAATTATAAAAAAAAATTTAAGCTCCTATTACCGTTGTCCGATCTTTTCTAATCACCGTGTATAAATATGAAATTTATATTAGTGGGTTAAACTTTTTTTGCAAAAAAAAAATTGCGTGGTACAGACTTAGAAAACTAATTCTGTCAAAAGCCCGGCTACAGTTAACTTGAACTTCAACTTGATTCGATAATTAATTTTTTCAGCGATACCGTCTACTGATTTTTTTGAAAAATAATTATTAAAGAATTATTAAAAGCAAAACAAAGAATTTTTCCTTAACTTTTACGTACTTAACATTTTATGAACTTGTTACCTTACTAACAGGTGTCTAATTAATCCTCGTTTAAATTTAACACCTAGTTAATTAAATTGTTGGCAACGCTTGTGTGGTTATTACGTTATTTCTGTGCACAAGACATAAAATTTTGCAGAGTTGGAGATAACATCTTATTTTAAATTTGCTGTATTAAAAATACCGTCGCTTGTAAATAATTCCGAATAGAGTTAGCAAAATGTGAGATTTGTTTGGAAACCGCTTCAGATTTAATCAAGTTTGAGGTGGATTACACAAAAGTTTAATTAGTTGATTGTTTTACCAAGAATTTAATAAATCACAGCGTGACATGTCTCAGGAAGTACATATTTATTGCTAAGGAAATTGGATGGCGGTTCTCCGTCAAAAAGGGAGACGTTTATTTCGCTAAATTAGTTGCACGAACCGACACAATAAAATTAATTAGTGTTAAAGTGGGATAAGTTGCTTAACGATTTTAATGAGTGCAAGTATAACAGATCCGTGATGGTTTAGAAATTTTCCTGAATTAGAAACATCTTGCATATATGGTTGAGAGTCCCACAAAACCACGCGACTTTTCAACGTCTGGTCAGATTCAACCGAGTGGCAGAATTTCGTAATTGCGTCGATTAGGGTGCACTGTGTAATTCGTGTCTCTGGTCGAAGTGGTTTAGGGAAGTTTCCAACTGTTTTCACAAGACTAACTGTCGTGATAAAACAGGGGGGGAAAGTGTAGCTAAATGAGTTACACACTGATGATTGTTGTTAAGTTCACTGGTTTTTATGGCCAACTTGGAGATTCTTTATTAGATTAATTAGAATCGAGAATAAATGCAAATCTATTCATACTGAATATGGAATTGAATTTAAAATTAGAAGAAAATATTAAAAAAAAACTTCTTTGATGTCATGGCGAAAAACGATATTTATTAAAAACGTAAAATTTTTAAAATCGGAACAAACAAAACACAAAAGAGTGATGTTTTTAATTAAACTGTGCATTTTTATTAAAAAGTTTACAATTGTCTGCTTATACGTATAACATACAAATAATAAATGATTAAATTCTGAAGATCAAACATTCAATAGGTAATAAAATGTATTTTTTAAACTACATAAAAATTTTGTTAATTAAAGCTGAAGTTTTTTTTATGAAATGAAATGCAGTTTAATTTTAAGATAACTACTATACGTACTACAAAATAAAAATAAAAAACAAATTAATGTTTATTATTTATTTAATACAGGTTAAATATTTGAACAATTGAATAGGTGTTTACTCGTACAATACATGACTACACACTATGTTCATTTTGCAAATGTTCATTTTATGCAACCAACTTTACTCTTGAGTTTTTAGTCCCACTTGACAGATTTCGATATGTCACACAAAATACAAAATGTGTAAGTAATTTGATAATTTTTTGGAAAACTCGAATTTTTTGTTGAGTTAGTGTAGGGTTTGATTTATGAGTTAAAAACCGTAAGTCGAGACTGTCTGAAGCGCCCGACAATAAAACAAAATATGATAAAAGCGAATCGTTTTTTGTCGAGCACCAATATCATTTTTCGTCTGCCACTCGCTTCCAAACACATGAACCATTAATAATTCATCAAATTTCAAAGTAATTTCAATATTTGATTAGGATTCTTTGCAGTTTCTCGTTCCCACTAAGTAGGTAGAACATTACATTAATTAAATCGTGTCACATGCTTCTTCTTCAATCAAGCTTTTTGCTTTGCTGCACGCCAATGCATCTTGCAATTAGATGCATCCGTATGCACAAAGCACGCAACGTTAGGGTTGGTTAAGTTTCTTTAATATAAATGTCAGAGCTGACTCTTCTCTTTGCCATAATGCAGCTTACTCTTGTTAGTGTCTTGTTTCTTATCAAAATCACCGCTGGTGGGTGGTTGAGAGATTTGATTTCTTCGAGAGGATGGAACCTTGGGGATGGAGTTGTTGTTCATTTGGTCGATTCTAAACTCCCCAACACCACTTTTTTGCAAAGACATTCAGTAATCATGGACTATGGCGGGTTAGCTCTTAGTGTGAGTCAAGCCCTTGATAAAGAAGCTTTACAAGTCGGTCTAGGTAAGACTTTCTTTCAAAAAATGTAATTTCGAAAAAAATCTTTTAAGGACGAGGATATAAGGATTACACAGAATCCGCAGCTGTTAGTTTGATTATCGGTTATAAGCTCGCAACGATGGCAACTCTTGCCTTTTCTGCTGTGGGAGCTTTAGTTTTAAAAGCTCTTAGTGTGGCTAAAATTGCAGCGGTGCTTTCGATGATCCTTTTAGTATCGAAGCTTTTTCATCACAATCAACAGGCGTACGTCGAAGTTGAGCCGGAATTCGCTGAAATTCCTCCTGAAGGTGAGTTGGAGTTGTTTGTTGAAAGTTTCAGTTGTGCTTTTTAGAATATTTTCCGTCAGCATCGAGTGATTATTATTCGTACGCGAGCTTTCCTCCGGGGATTGATTACGTACCAGAGACATTTGGTGGAAATTCGAGCGATCAACAAGTGTCGAGACGTCGAGACGCTTCAAAACGAAGAAGAGTGCCGTTGTTGACAATACATCAATATTCCATTAAGTCTTGAAGCGATGACATTTTTCTCTTATTTAAGTGTATTAAGTAGATATTATTGAATAAAACGTTATGAGATTTTTTTCATTACAAATAATTGATTGAGCCTCTTTCAGCCTACATCTTTTTCACTTGAGAAAATTCCAATTATGTCAATCTCTTATTAAAATTAGTGCGAAAATACTAAGATCTCACTTTAAATTGTTCGAATTACAATTAGATGAGAACTGCTGTAATTAAGCAAAACCGTATTGTCTTTTAAAGCTGAAGATATGAAAGCTTGAAGGGCAGAACACTTCTTTTGTTCTCAAATATAAAGCTTTGTTTGTGTCATAATACAAATAAATCTCTTGTCATGTTACGATTTAAAAAATTTCTTTTTCGAACAGTGCAATATTTATTACAGAAAAAAACATTAATAACTACAAAAACACGTCAATAAATAAAAAAAATAAATATAAACAAATGTAAAAAGGCCTCCAATATGGCGCCACTTCACCGTTTCATCTTAATTCTGTGGAATTTGTGCTTTATAAGCCAAATTCTGTGCATCAAAGTTTCTTCCCCATCCTCCTCCATACGAATCATGTCCTCCTCCACTGGTGTGATGTTCGTGATGCTCATGATGAGGATGAGCCACAACTTCATACGTTACATGTTTTTCATGATGGAGAAGTTTTTTCAAGCCAATGATTACAGCAAGCACCAATGCAAGCTAAAACATAACAATGAGAAAGTGTTTCAAATAAAAACGTTCAACTTACTTTGCTGACGAGTAGAGCTTTGCCGACCAGAAGAACTAAAGCTTTGAAAGCGAGAGCTTTCAAAAGACCGATTTTCATAACAGCAGCAGCGATAATTGCACCCATGCCGTTTTCTTTCTTTTTACGGGCATCGCCTTCGGAGGATTTACTTGGGTGGATCGAGAGGCCGACGTTTAAACCACCGTCTTTCTCGCTTTTGCCCGATATTACAACGTCGGCACCGTCCAAAACCTAAAATTGATTCATGTTGTATTTCGAAAAAAAATTAATTTGATTCCAACGTAATCAAATTCAACGTCAAGTTTATACTACCACATGAAAAGTTAAATTTAATATGTTTTCAGAAAAAAAACCGAATTCAATTGAAAGTAAATCAACTTTGATTTAATATTCTAAATTATAATTATTGGTTTCATTTCAAGATTTAGAAATTTATTTCTTGGAAAATAACAATTTTTGGAGGTAAAGCACCTCGAGTGCCATTTCTTGTTCCTTGCATGTGTTTCCACGCCTGAAAGATTTTGAGGTCATGGGTCACAAGGTAATGAACCCACCTTCCATTTTAGTGACCTCGTCCTCAAGAAACTGTAGATTTTATCAGCAATAACTTCACTGAGTAAAGCTTCTTCTGACATATTTTCAGTATTGAGAGATCTTGAAGTATCTGCTGTGATGATTTCAGTAGAAGTTTGAGTGATTTCAACGTCTCCAAACTCGATGGACTGCTTTTTCAACATGCGGTTGAAGTAAGTCACGAGTTTCAGCATCATGCATGAACTTATGTCGCGATTTAAACATTTCGAGTTGAGTTTTTTCAGCAGAGATTCCTCCACGGTCGATTCTCCTGTGTGTACCTGAAGGATTATTCGAATGAATGGATGAATAAATGAAGTAATTGTTGGGTATTAGCGAGAAGGTGCTAAATTATTGTAATGTTTTGAATAAATAATTCTATAGAGTTGACAGAAAAAATGAAATCTTTTAGTCAATTTATATAAAAAAAGTGTTTTTTTTTCAACCAACTGTTTGTTCTACTGTGCTGGATGTATTAATTTTTTGAATAATTGAACATCTGTCGACTTTTATAACGGTGGTAACATATTTTTCATTCAGACTATTCGAAATGTCGAGTAAATGAAAGAATTTCCGGAGATTTTATCCAAGTTCACGGTTATAAAAACCGGTTATGCGTTATTAATTAGTAGAAATAATCATAAATTTTTAAGACACATAATTAAGATGAAAGTAATAAAGAATGAATCACTTTTTTGATAAATTGGGAAAGCTTCTCGACTAGTCATAAGTTAGAAATAAAAGGAAAACCGAATAATAAAGCAGTAAATCTCACCGAGTTATCTATATGCCCTTTGGTGTCGTCAACCACGGGTCCTGCGGTCGCCAGGATGGCAAAGGATAACACAACACAAATCACTTTAGCGTCCATTTTTCCACTTTATTTTTCTATGAAATAAAAAAACAACAAAATTAAAAAAAAAACTCAGAACATGACCGTGGTTGCCAAAGGAATGAAGAATCGGCGGTAGTGGTAAAGATTTTATATCGTCGGAAGCGCCTTTACAAGTGTGTCGTATGGACCAGTTAAAGAATTAGGGTTATGGTAAGTATCTCTTGTGGCGATGGGAGTCTTGTTGCGAGAGTAAGGTCAACACTATGATTTACGCCGACAGTGAAAATTCTAACAGCGAAAATTCCGGGTTTTTGGGTTGACACCCCAAATCTATAAAACTCTTGGTTTTAAATTACCTAATCAGATTTTTTTTATTAGAACGTCATCGACTAACCCAAATATTGTTGCCGACTAGTCTAGTTATGGCGGCACACTTTTTTAATCATCTCATTATCTCTGATGGGGTTTCTCTTAAAAAAACATTGAGAACTTTCGATGAGATTACGGAGCTAATGAAAGTTGGGCGGACAAAAATTCAAAAAACGATAATTGGACGTAATAAATTAAGAGAGCTGGTTTTAATTCATGTTCATTGTAGAACATTTAGATTATTGTGGGAGTTTAATCGACCCCTTTGTAGATTTCTCATTTTCGAGATTGTCAGCGCCAATCTGGCACATTCCATTCGGATTATCTAATCTCATATTCCGATGTGTGCCAAGAGGCATTCGTTCGGAATTAATCATGAAATTCATGTAGTTTCGAGGTCGCAGGCAGCATCACCGTCCAAGAAAAACCAACCCGTACACGTGCACAAGTCCTTTTATAACACTATCGGCTTTCTATCTATACATCCAATAAAGTTAGATATGTGCTTGTAGGCAGCTTTCAATTGCCGGAGAAACGAGACCGGATACTTCGTGATTCGTGAAAGCTCATCGCTCATTTTTTTTTCCATCTACGACTCAAAAAATAAAAATAGAAAGTGGATTAAGAAACCGTGAGATTGCCGTTGTGTCTCGTTTTTGAGAGATCGCTTTCGCCGATTTTGATCCGATCTGAGATTAACGCAATTTCCGGTGCGTAAAATCATTCAGTATTAATTAAGGTGAGTAATTGTAGCTTCGGACTGATGCGTTTTTTTTAGGTCGATTCTACAAGAATGTGGGACGCATGGTCATTTCTAACGCAACAAGAAGTTTCTTCGAGTAAAAATTTGCTTTACGAATATTTTTATAAGGAAATGTAGGTTTGATTTATAAACCAATGGCCAGCTAAGAAATTTTTTTTTTTATATTTGAGCTCATTTTTAACTTTGTCTCTCGAATAAGAAAAATAGTGTCTAGTTGCGTAATATATGTAGAATAATCCCTTGAAAGAGAATGAATAATTCATGTTTGCCACCTTTTTTCGTCTTTATGGTAGGTTGCGACGTTTTATAAATTAAAGTGAAGACACCCCTTTGTGCACTGTTGCATTGTAAATAAATTGTGGATGTTTTATTCACAAGATATGTAAAAACACAAAAAAGTCGCGTTCCGGATTCTTAAATGTAACAACAATTATTTATCTACATTGTTTTGGTAGCGACCATCTGTGCAATAATTGTAAAAGAAAGCTATTGTTTGTAAAAGCTACTGAAGCTATCAACAGTCAATAAACCAGTAATTTTCCGAGAGAATTAAAGCAATAACAATAAAATAATTATGGAATTAGTGTGTTTGTAAATTATGGATCAGTTTGAGTGATTGACCCTGATTTTACGAATGTGTGTCTAAGGTCAATGTCGAAAGGCACTGACATAATTCCCATTATAATACTCTCGACAATATGATACTCATTTCCTGAAATCAACAACACCGGTGTCGGTTAATTATGAGAAACTATACTTATGCACACAGGTTGTTGTTGTTAAAAGTTTAATTAAGTAGACGGTCGCAATTGATTTGCATAACTCGTCCAGTCGAGCGTTAAATACTTATTACATAAAATACATTTTTAAATATCCGTTCCATTTTCACTAGTTTCCGGTTATCTGATCCGTCGATAGCGACATTGAGAAAATAAAGGAGGTTTGACCGCAACCTCATTTCTCGATAACCAGATGCTCTTCCGTAAATATACCTCCAACCATCAAGAAAGTTTTGGTGTCTTGCTCGCCTATCAAAATCTCTACGAAGAATTTCCCAGAGACCTTAGGGCAACAGGGCCGTTACATTGATAACCTTGACCGTGCGTAGGGAGATGACGCACTAACCTACATAGCGATTCATTCCAGAAAATCTAGTTCAGTGAAAAATATTACATTTTCGTGATTGATCAGCAAGGAGGCTGTGGCCTGGATTCGGAAGTGTTTCCGGTTATTTACCGGAATCACCTGAGAAAAAAATCGACTGTTTAATAATAAATAACAACGGTTTTAAAATTAATAATGTACGAGCTACCGTTTTATATTAAATTTAATTTTTATGCGACCCACTTGTTAGAAATTTAATTTATTTTCACGGAATTAATAAAATTAAATAAAAAGTTTGGCATTGTTTTATTTTCTGACACAATGTAATCAAGTCTTGAAACTCGAGATTTCCCAAATGATAAAAAAAGTATAAACGTAAGGGGTGGCAAAAATGGATAAAGAGAATGAAATGCTTGAATCGCTCTTAATTGAACTTTTCTCCGAAAATTTATTGCCTTTTAGAGGATAACCGGGTTGTGCTTCATTCGCTTTTCAGCTGCACATTTTACCTACTTATTGTTTCGTGTGAATAACAATTACAAATTGTTTTTAAATTTGATTTTATTTACATTTTTACATAAATTATGGCATAAATATTTACAAACTAAATTTAAAAATTATATACATGTTACGAGTCTGGTAAAATAGATTTCTTTGAGGTAGTTTCTTCCGCTTTAATATCCCCTCCATTATTTCTGTAATGACTCCATCCATTATATGCCAAATGTTGGGCATTATTATCATCACCGAAATGAACGGCACCATATTGTGCATTATTCGAGTATTCAGCTTCACCTCTGAAATGCCCCGGATATCCTACTCCAGCTGGAGAATAATGAGGTCCCGTATAGTAATTACTTGATTGTAGATTAGGCTTGCAAAGCTTGAAGAAACCAATTAAACCCGGAATGACGATAGCTAAGAAACCCAGCAGTTTCTTAAACGAAGCCAGACCCAGAATCAAAGGCAGAAACAGCAACAGTTTTAACTTAAAAAGTTTCAAAATGATCAGCATCGGAATGAATAATTTCTTTAATTGCTTGCGCTCTAGAAAAAAACAAGTATAGGCAACCAATTAAACAGTTTCTCGACTTACTGAAAAGTGAGTCTTTTTTGTCTTCGATGACGTCGATTTCGTCGGCAATTTCATCGATAAATCTTGGTGCATATCGACCGCTTTCGGTAACTTCGTTATCAAACTGTACTTCAATGGCCGAAGATTTGAGGAATTTTTCAATCTGAAAATTAGGAAATACAAAATTGTTTTTTTCCCGAGTTTGTCTCTTACTTTTCTCAAACCAAATTTTACAAGTTGGTCCCATTCAGGCTCGTCAGCTCTCGGTACTGAGGAATATTCATAAGGTTCATGGTTCAGTTGTCTCAACTGCGTTTGAGGCATTCGTAAAATCCTGACATGTTCAGTGAGAGAATATTGAGGCTGAAAAGGGGAAAACGTTAATTAAAGCAGTTGTAGGGATTAGCATTTTTGACGATCCACAGATGAATTTAATTGAAAGGATAAAAATTGAGATTAACTGGTGGATTATTGTAAGATTATTCCTTTTATATAGATATTGAAAATCTTGGAAACGTTGTGGTTTTAGCTAAAAGCTTTCCATTAGTTTTTAATGAAATTGTTTCAAGAATTTGAATAAAAAAAAAACTAAACCTGGTAGTGGCAGTGTCCTTAGGGCAGAATACTCACTTTATTGAAAAAGTCATCAAGCGACGCCAGCGCTCTCGATTTGAAACATTCCGCGAGATCTCCTTCAAGACACGCCGCATTTGTTTTAGCGAGATAGGGGTCAGTGTCCGGTCCTGTCCCGAGACCTATCCAATCCAGAATCGTCCTGTCTGGAAATCGCATTTTAGCCCCAAGTTTTAACAACGTCAAGAACTCACCTTCAGCCTCAGGCTGCCGGAAACTTCTTTCGTCGGCCGATTGCAGTGCTACCAACGAAATTAAACTGGAAAGAAATAACCACTTGACGGCGCCCAACATGATCACAGTTCGAATTGCTTTTAAATCGGATTTGGAATCTTAACAATTATTACGTGGAACACCGCTAGGTAGGTCACTAACTGTACACTGTGCTGGCTGACGAGTGCACAGATCAAGAAGTTTGACTTGCATTATATACGAGGGTGTGATACATGGGGTTTCCAGCCCAGGATTAAGTAACAGTCGGGGCAATGCCCAGTGAAAGTCGGTTTGGATGATGAGAAACTTGAAAGGAAAAGTGATTTCGGTAATGCGATGAGAGAAATAATAAGATAATCGAATTTGGGGGAAATTTATTTTACACGAGATGAGATTTGTTTAAGATCTGTTGTTTCTCTATTTAATTGCTTAATAAAAAAATAAATATAAACAATATGACTCATGAGGTGGGTGAAAGCACCAAGAGAGAAAGTAAAAATAAATCCGGCTGGAAAACCCTTGCTGATGCGTTTATTACAGAACGGAAACACCGCTTTATGTAACATTTATATCATTGGACTTGAATTGTAATGGTCATTAACTAAAGTGTTAGTGTTTGTCTTCTTTAATCAAGACTTTTAGGTCCAAAAAAAGTTAATAAAAAATACATTACATTATTTTTAGTTGTTTTTGGAAGGCAACTTAGTTTTAATTGCTCAATTACCCAAATTAAAGGGTTTCATCTCCCATTGCTCCAAATAATCAAATATTTATACAACAAATATTTCGTAACATCACTTCTAGTTTCATGTGCTAAAATTTTGTTGTATAAAATTCTATTTCCAAGCTTCAGAACCAAATCTAAATATACCTCTTGGAAGCCGTACCCTTCATAGGAAATTGAAATTAATACAAACCACAAAATTTATTCAACCTGACTTCCACATTCTCATATATTTATCTTGACATCGACAGTTCCAATATTTACGTAGTTATTGGAACATCGAAGATTGACTAGACGTGCCTCTATCCTGCTTTTCCAGTGATTTAAATCCGAAATAAATGGGAAATTTGACCAAATTTATCAAGCTTCTTCATTTCTCCCCACTGTCGGATTTTTTATTATAAACTAAGCGTCCAAATGGCTGCCTCTTTTGAAATTTAAATAGCAAAGACGTCTCGCGCCGATAATAAAATCTCCGTCAGTATTTTGTTAGCAAACAAGGGTGGAAGCCTTCGATAGACACGACCGAAAAGTCGATAGAGAAACGTGAAATATTTATGAATACCAAAACCTACAAATTTGTACTTTTGCTGCGAAAACAATTTCATTATTTTGTACGGATTTGCGATCAATAAAGTATTGTGCTAGCAACGTTTGTCATTTGACAACAAGCCTAAATAAAGTTTTATTGGCAATAATAACAAAAATCGGAAGCGAGTGGCGTGAAAAATGAACGATTTTGTTTTCGTTGCTTCATCAGTTGAAAATGATAAGTTTTGACTCGAGTTGTGACATGTGGTCCGGTCCCATGAGGCGTGGGTTTGTTTGTAGACGATTAACATCAAGGATTGAAGTTTGAGGGGAAGTTTTTGCAGTTTTAATCTCTAGAATTAAGCCACAATTTCAAAAACGAAGAGAAGAGCTAGAAAAAGGAGACCACCCAAAGTCCCAAAACTATTTATTATACATAAAATTTATTCGGAAAAATAATTTACAACAGAGAAATAAATAAATTAAATAAATAAATAAATAACAGACTTATAGATAGAATATGGATTGAGCACTAGTACTAGCAACCGAAAAGTTGTCAATAAATTAATCAATAAATAAATAAAGCTTAAAATTATCATCATGACTAAGATATAAAATCACTCAATTGATCTTTCTGGCTTGCACCAATTTGTTAATTTCATTGTACGTTGTAAGAATAGCTGGACTAGCTTGACTGGTAGATAAGGCCGAGCACCCTTTATGTGCCAGACATTCCTCCCCATCTTGGCCATCTTTCGCCGCTTTCATATACCGGAAGAACCTGAGAATATCCGGATTGTCCGAAGCCGGCTTCCGGAGCTCGTTCAACTCCCTGAAAGCAATTATCAGTGCTTATCAAGAAAATCCCACGGAAGCTTAAAGTATTAAAGTTGTTATCGAAAAATGTTACCTGCTCAGCTGTGCCGAAACGAGGTTACTATAAGGGGCGTATTTTGCAGGATTCGCGTACATCATGCAGACGAGTCTCTCGCGACACTTTTCGATTTCCGGTGATTTATCGTCACCGAGACCTAATTGCTGGAAAACGGCGTCGAGACGCGAAAGAAGAGGACTATAGAAAGGGTCGTAACTTGTGAGAAGGAGAGAAGAAGACGGAATTTTGTGAAACACCTTGTAATCAGTCTTCTTGTTGGGTTTTCGCATGTAGTAGTTGTCATTCTGGAAGGAAATGCGATTGTGGCCGATGCCAAATCTGCAAACAGAGAATTGATCAGATTTTATTGTGGAAAAAGTTACGGATGCTAAAATTATCTCAAAGCGAAAAAAAATGTGGATTTAGCTTTGGACCAAACAGGATTCGGATCTGTGTCTACTTTTGTTTTATTTGCTTTCAACAAAAATTGATTTTTCTTTACGTCTTTTTTCTTAGTTTTATTAGGATATTGCTTTGTTTAAAAAGAAATATTTCTATATTTCTAGGAAATTAGAAGTTTTTTCAAAAAAAATATCTCTGATATTACAACCGAAATTACAATAATCCATTGTAAAACTATTCTTTTCAGATTAATTCTTATAATTCTAAATTAAATCCTGTAATTCCAACCTAATTTCCGTAATTCCAACTTAATTTTTGTAGTTTTAGAATAATTTCTGTAATTCAAATTGATTCGACAGCTCTAAAAAATTCAACGTGATTTTCAAAAGAAATCTCCGATAATTTCAAAGAAAATTCCAGTAGTTTCAGAAAAATTCCAATAATTTTAATTATTTATCGTAATTCTAGTTCTAATTGTGTTCAGATTAATGCTTATAATTACAAATTAATTCCTGTAATTTCAACTTAATTCCCATAATTGCAACTTAATTTTCGTAATTCCAAAATAATTCCTGTAACTCCAAATTAATTCCGATAGTTCTAAGAAACTTAACGTAATTTTTAAAAGATATAATCTTCGATGATTCAAAAAAAAATCCAGAAATTCTAGAAAAATTTCAATAATTCCAAACAATCCAAAGATTGTTTTTTTCATTTTTAATTTTCTAATTTTAATAATTTCAAATATGTATATAATTTCGATTAAATTCTAAAAATTTGTACAAAAAATTCCAGAGTTAACGGCATGTCGGTTTTCACATTATGTTTGTTTTTACGTTTTTTTTAACTTTATGAGTAAATAATGTAATTTCCATTTATTTAGTTTATTTGTTTTGTCTTTTTTTTTGTTTCATTAGGATACTTGAGAAATTATTAAGCTTCTTATATCTTGTAAGAGAGTCGTTGAGAAACATATTATAAAAAATCTTCTAATTCTGAAACATTATTTGATGACAAGTACAGATTTATTGTGTTTTGTTGACTTTTATTAATGATGAAACTTGAATTGAGAAATTAATATTATTTTCTCTAAATTTATTAATAAATCCGTTTTTAGTTTTTGAAAAATATGCTGCGTGTAATAACTACTTATATTTACTAGTATTAATTTATATAGCCACTTTGGACCATCAAAAGCATGTTGTAGAATAAGAACCTAGTTGAAGATTTTTTACAATAACGATGCAAAATATATATATATATATTTTGCATCGTTATTGTAAAAAACATTAGAAAATGCAGATTTGTTTTAAATCTGGATTTTTCCTTTTATAAAATCCTAGTCCTGTCTGTATCAGATTCGAATCCTTTGCGTATAGCACTGGTTGCTTCTTTAATTGACGTATAAAAAACTATTCGTTTGGAAAATATCGCAATCTGTTATTTATGCATGAATTCTTTTCAAATGACGTGGTAGAGAATCAAACGTTGGACTCGTCTAGCCTCTACTTAACTTTATTAGAGCAAAACCGAATGGGGGCGGTATTAACTGGAGGCTTTATTTATGTTCAAGTTTATCCCTGAACGCTGGAAATTTGCATACATCATCTTTGGAAAGAATATGTCGTTGCTAATCTGTATTAGCAAAGTCATTACATTTGCATAACACACGGAATTATACGCACTATTACATGTCGGCAAGGATTAGTCTCTTTGTGCTTTGTTTCACATAATTTCACTATTTACAATGTTGTCACTCAATATCGGTAAAGCCCCATATCGTTGCACTTAGCCGATGAAATTTTTATTTAGCCAATAGAAGCTGACAGTGTGAAGCAAGACAATGAATTGGCAAACAATTACAAAAAAAATTAGATTATTATTCTCACTGCAGATAAAACTAATAATGTTTTGTTGCAATATAGACGTGCTTTGAAACATAGTTTCAACACAACACAAGTAGTTTTCACGATCGATAATACCTTGAGGAAACTAAGCATAATGAAAAGTTAGCGCTTACAATCTAAATGTAAATCCACTCTAACAATTACAATTTCACTACTCAAGTGTATTTTTTTTTACCGGCTATTGGCGGCCGTGGCCGGCGTGGTGGAGCCGCCCACAGTGAGCCCCAAATTGCCATCAGTTCCCTCAGCGTTGAAATCCTGCACTCCGTCATTACTATACGGGTCCGTGTCTTTAAATTCAAAATCTTCGACTTGTCCGTGATTGTTGTTGATTCCCGCCGACGCCCCAGAGATTCCCGAAAACGTCGATAATCCCTTGCCGAGTACCTTTCCTAAACCTCCGAGAATTGATGGCAGGAACATTGCGATCAGCACAGATTTCACCAACTGAGCCCCAATAAAAACCGGCAAAAGAAGTTTTTTCAAGGCAAAAGCTAAAAAGCCCATACCGAAACCGGCCATGAAGGAATTCCTGCCGCCGCCGTCATCTGCTGCTGCTGCTGCCGCTAAAAAATAAAACACGGAAATTAACTCGATGAGAGTTTGTTTAGTAGAGAGAAGGGATAGTTGAGACACAATTGCTTTCAACTAATAAAAGCTTACAAAGGCCACAAGAGCTTAAAAGCTTTTTTCACGTTAACTGGGAGAAATTTTTGTCGTTTATGACAAGATTCGATTACTTGTAAAATGGTGATGTAAGTGATAGCTTGAAAATAACACGATAAATAAAAATAGGAGTTTTAACGCGAAATATTCTAGTAGTTTGAGAAACTGCAAAAAACTGATATTAAATTCGTCCTTGTCCACACACGAGTGGAATATACAGAGTGTTCCGTTTTTATAGGTAGAAGAATATTCAATTTTAAGACAAAAGTGTCAATACATATCAAAAAATGTTTTCTAAAGGAGCTACACCCTATTATGAGGTTGTATCGAAAAACGCAAAAGACAAAATTTTTGTGAAAAACTATGGAATTTTAAATTTTGTTGTTGTGGCAAGAAATTTCAGTCAAAATAGTTAGAGTACTATTCATCCTAACCCACAGATTAAAAAAATATACCATTTTCAACTTAATTTGCTAATGTTAGGGCCCATCTGGGTAAAATTTTACTTGAGAAAGACAAAAACAATGTGGTTTTCGACTCCTATTTTAGCTATTCTAGCAAAATTTTGTGAAAAAAATCAGTTTTGGCTCGAAAACGTTTTTATTCGCTTGAAAATAGATGAAAATAAAATAATTTTTTGCCTAATTAATTTTTGGGAGTGTTTTGATAAAAAACAATTAAGATTTGTACTCACAAATGACAAAAAACACCATTTTTTATCTAATTAGAAGGTCTCACGACTTGCTTGAGTGAAATGTCGCAAAAAAAAGTGCATTTTTAACTGAAAAAGTCAAAAATAATGTTATTTGGTCGCTTTTTTCCTAAAATTTTGCAAAAAAAAAACAGTTTTTAACTCAAAAACAAGTTAAACGCTTTAAAAGGTGGTTTTTTTGGTTGTGAATGAAATTTTTTGAAAAAAAGTAGGTTTTTAGCTCACCAAACTAAATCCAGTGAAACAGACCAAAATAGAGCGATAATTTGAATCTAGTTTCGTGATTTTGTGGCCTATTTTAGCAACATTTTGCGAAAAAAAGAAGTTTTTAGTTCAAAAATGTATTTAACTGCTTAAGAAAGCAAAAATAGCGCAATTTTTTCAACTGGTTCGGACAAAATTTTGCAAAAAAATTGCATTTCTGGCTGAAGAACTTTCTTAAACGCTTGAGAAAGTGAAAAATATGATATTTTCGATTTAATTTCGTGATTTTATCTTGTCTCGATAAAATCTTATTCAAAATTTGAGTTTTTATCTTAAAAACATACTAAAACGTTTAAAAAAGCAAAAATAGTGATTTTCGACCAAACTTGACCATTTTTTTCGGTAAAAACACCACAAAACATGTGTAACACAAATATTAGAAAGATTTTACTCAAAAAGGGTAAGTTGTATCAAAAAAAGGTAAGAGACCTCTGTTTGTAAAAACTATGAAATTTAGAATTTTATTGTTATGGTACTTTCTATCCTAAACCCCCCCAGTTTAGGACGCTCCTGATTAAAAATTTCGACATAAAGGTAATCAATCAACTATACCAAATTTTGCACTTTTGGCTTCTGAAATATTACACAAAATCCATTAAAACATACACCCGTTTCAGGGAGTGTAGCGCCGTTACATAGTACATATTTTTTAAGAATCATAGGAAACTTTTATCTTAAAATTGAATATTCTATCACCACAATAAAAATGGAACACCCTGTATAAAACTGAATCCTTCAAGAATGTCAGATGCAAAACACGTGTCGCTCATGTATTGATTCACAAAAATTTCCATGTAATTAATGAATTCAAATCCAACCGTTGATGAGTTGCGAAATAAAAGGATTAAGAACACACTTTTTTATGCTTTTGGTGTCGCTATTTGTTCATATCTCTAAAATTACTCACATTGAAAAAACCGGGCCGTCGCTGGAATGTCCACTGAAAGCACATGAGTCTTGCTATACTCGTCCATTTTTTTTTTGACATACTCTTGAATACTTCCAAAACTCCTCGAACTCACACACGTTTCTTCGTTTTCTCCATTTTTACTCGCATTAGCAACTCGTTCGATTCCAATTCCCGGTAAAATGGAATATTTATCGATATTCAAGACACTATCAACATATTGTTTTAATTCCCTATCAATCTCATCACTTCCACAGTTCAGTTTTGAAGCCCTCAAAGTCGACAACACCAAGCACAACACGTACAGAACTTTCAGCATGTCCCCTGTTCTGTATCGCCATATTTTGTCCATTTTGAGGCCATCTGTAAAAAAAATCGACCAACTTTCAAACAGTGAATGGATTTTGGCTTTTAAAAATAATAATGATGACGGAAAATCAAGACTTTTTCGACCATCACTTCACCCACTTTCTTTTTTCTTCAGGCGTCTTGTTTGTTCTCGTTTTTTACCGGTTTTTTCCCTTTTATACTTATGTGGAGCATCTCGTACATTACTCTTAAATTGTCCATAAAGTGTCAAGGTCGTCAAAATACAGAGCCATATCGCTTTTTGCCATGAAAAACAGATTCATAACGCGGAAAAATCCGGTAAACAACAATAGCGCATCTCTATTATTAATTGCAAGGTATAACTTGATAAAATTAGCAAGCTTTTTGTACATATAACGGTTCGATATTGTTTTATGTAAGCGCACATTTACAGCAACGTGATCAAATTCAGAATAACAGTCGTCTTTTGTTGAATCCTGAGATATTTGATTGGAGGATTTTTTTGACACGCCTACTACACAACGAGTGTGTTAGTGGAATTAGGTGTCAGAGTGTATTTATTACTTGTAAGTAAATTTGAGACTTATACGATGGAATTTATCTTTTAATCGCTAGGTTAGTAGGTCTGATGCGTCGGACATTTGCTTTCTTGGACTATATGCAAATTTGTACAACTACTTAGAAATTTTTACGAAGAAAGTAAAACAATTAAAACGTTTAATTTTTTTGTTGGGAATAAAAAAAATATTCATTACACAATAATGTTCCAATTATTTTTAATTAAATTAGCTTTTACAGTCATACTAAAAGCTATCATGCAGATTCGAGATAACCACCCTATCCTTAATTGAATGAAAAAATTCATCTAATTAAATAAATTCATTAAAGTCTCATATCACGCGGCGTCTTATCAAATAATTTAATAATTGAATTACGTGTGTCTCCATAATAATTACGACTTTCTATTCAATAACTGGCACATACCATAAAACTTCTCCAACTTGATTTCAATAACAAGAAAAAGCGCCGAAATTCCGTCGTAAAGTTTACGAGCCGATCAATCGCGATTAGTTGTAATAGTTGGAACAAGTTGTAAAATCTACTAAACTTTAAACAAGAGAGTTTACATTAAATGGGTTCAAAAGTTATAGCAACTTGATATTATATTGCAAATGGGGTGGCTAACCGGAAAATGAGGAGGTGTTTTAAGGAAGACACGTGTAGCTTGATTACATTCAAGGATGAGATAATCTAACTTGTAACAATATCGACGTGCAAATTTTACTAAATTAATATTCATTTTGGTTGTTGGAAGCGGGTCAACTTTTTTAACGATGACACACTTTGGCATTTTTCGAGCGCAATGTGATTAATGATGAGACAAACATTGGGAGGGTTTTAGAAAAAGACAATTAAACTTTTTTGGCACAAATATGTCGTTACTGAAACCCATTTTCTGCCATTGGTGTTTGAGGGATTTGTTTCACATTCGTTGTTCATTTATTGATAATTTATTATTTATGTTTCAAACAGCAATTTTATGAAATATTTAATTTGGCTTGATAAATAATGCATTTTTAAATAATTTATGCATTTTGTGCAGTTTAAATTGTGATTGTTTATCAAGACCTATGACAAAGATAGGGTACTGATTAAAATTAATTATAACCACTGCGAGGTTTTAAATTTTCTAATTACTATATGCTGTTCTGGTTAAAGAATATAAAAAACACATTTCCTTATTAAACTGTGAAAGTGTCATGCAACAGCATTAAATTACCTGAAATTCACAAATTTTGTAATTAAAGTAATTACATTTAATAACGCTAAACACAATGGTGAAAATTGTTTAAAAACGCGAATAATCTTTAGATATTTATTTTTTTGTTAACAATTTTTAGTGTTACTTGTAGCAATTGGTAACACATCTTTGTTCTTAGATGAATCTACAAATCTTTTTGTATTTGTATTGACAAATATTATGTAATTACATGTGCACATGATGGTCAGTTAATTATATTCTCATTAAAAATATAAAAAAAATGTAATTGTAATACATTTAAGAAAAAATAAAATAAAGTATGTCACTCTGAAGAGTACTTAATCTACAGGGTGTGTCAGAACTCGAACTCCAGAGAAAAATAAGATACCAGGAACAAAGAAAATACGTTTAAAAAAATTTTCTGTCTAGAAATTTTGACATTTAATTTTGGACATTTGACATTTTTTATGTCTATTTTTAGGGATACTGATAATCTTGTATAAGTTTTTTTTAAAGATAAACTTTAACAATTATTTTTCCAACAGAAATAAATAGTCAAAGTGCAAAATTAAAACTTTCATAAATTTTTATAGATAGAATTTTTTACATTTTTTCCATATTTCTGCTATCTTACATAGCATTTTTAAGGAGAGTAATTTTACTCAAGAGAAGTAGGTAGTTAGAAAAGTTGTTTATTTTATTAAAGTAAAACTTGAAGGGGTTGTATTTCTAAGTAAACAAATTTTTACTCTACAGGGTTATTCATAAATATGAAGCAATATTTGACCTATAAAATGATGTTAATTTAAATAATAACTCGTGTCCTATCTCTACTGATAAGAATTTTACAGCCCTCGGAATGTGGGTATGGAAATTTGATTTTTTTGTAATAACTTTGGAACTATTTGACCAAATATTATAAAATTTGGAACATTTCCCTGTGACAACATACCCTTTAAACTGGTAATCACGAAAACCGGATACATCCACTCAATTTCCGCTTCCAGCAGTTGCAGGTCACATTTTCTGTATTTTTCCATTTTTTGCTCTCTTAACACCAATTTTTTTGCCCAAATAGATAGAATAATCAATTTCGAATAAAAAACGCATAACCTTTAATACCCCTAAAATGGACCGTTTCAAAGATATTTTAATTTAAACTGAGGACTGCACAACGCTGAAACCAAAAAGTAGGGATTTTGAATTGATGATATCCACGGTAACAAATGACCATGGTCTCACTAATCGCTGTCAGGCATCTGTCAACTTTGACATTGGACAATTATTAGACAATTAATCGAAAATATTTAATAAAAGAGTTTACCTAAGATTCCAAACATAACTTAGAATAAATCCAAATGGATCTCGTAGCATTTAATTCATAAAAAAATCACAAAAATTTATTGTCAAAGTTAACAGATGCCTGGCAGGGATTTATGTGACCAGAGCCATTGGTTGCCGTGGATACCACCTATTCAAAATCCCTACTTTTTGATTTCAGCGTTGTGCAGTCCTCAGTTTAAATTAAAATATCTTTGAAACGGTCCATTTTAGGGGTATTAAAGGTTATGCGTTTTTTAATCGAAATTGATTACTCTATCGATTTGGGCAATAAAAAATTGGTGTTAAGAGAGCAAAAAAATGGAAAAACACAGAAAATGTGACCTGCAACTGCTGGAACCGGAAATTGAGTGGATGTATCCGGTTTTCGTCATTACCAATTCAAAGGGTATGTTGTCACAGGGAAATGTTCCAAATTTTATAATATTTGGTCAAATAGTTCCAAAGTTATTACAAAAAAATCAAATTTCCATACCCACATTCCGAGGGCTGTAAAATTCTTATCAGTAGAGATTGGACACGAGTTATTATTTAAATTAACATCATTTTTTAGGTCATTTATGAGGTTCAAATATTGCTTCATATTTATGAATAACCCGGTATACAGCGTGGACAAAAAAAAATAGAACCAAGCTGTTTTTTAAAATATTGTTTGCCTCCAGTTAATAATAATTAATAAAAATTAAAGTGTTATAAACAATGTGTTCATGTTTTGAAAAATAAAATTTTGTGTTGTTTTTTTTCATCGTTTCCATACCAAAAAGATCCAAGAAAAAGTTTTCTTTTTGAGTTACGCAAATTAAACAAAATGTAGATATGTAGTTGTAATTCTTAAATCATAGTCTTTGTAAAAAAGGTTTTATAGTGAGTTGCTATTTGAATAAAAATTAAAACTTTTGCATAACTCAAAACCAAAAAATAAAAAAATATTATCAATTAGTTATTTTTCAAAAAATAAAACGTGCTTCCACCTGGTATGTAATACGAGTCATAAAGACAATTTATGTTAGCCACTCACGCACCAATTTATTTGAGAAACTTTACATTTAGTAATCAATAATTTGAGCACTTTTTAAAATAAAATGCAATTTTTGAGGGCAACCGGTACCAGCTCTAGTTCACCGGTTTCCAATCAATCTTCCTCCCGGACATCGTAATGATGATCTCTAGCACCTGCTGCCAAACCGTATTTGTCCAATTATTTGCTTAAACTCGGAAAAACTGAATTTTCCACTCACAGTGTATTAATCACCGCCGGTCCGGATTTGAGCACACTTATCCTTACCTGTTGTCAGTATCTATCCATTTTGTCACGAACCTGTGGGAACTCTGAACACCCAAAACACGTGTTCACAAATTCCTTATGTTGAAGAAATAATGAATACGTCGCAAACTGTCTGGCACGTTTCTTGTATAACACTACAAGAAGACGGTCTCGCTGCATGCACCTAGAGGTGTAACAGGCATGGACTGTTGACTCGGAGAATTCAGGCCACGAGGTCACTCGTCCGCGACGGTGTTGTTGCCCACCAAGTTTCAGTGGACGCTGAATTTATTCTTGACTAAGAGATAAATCAAGTTTTGCGATTTGTTCGAAAAGCTGATTATTTGAAGTGGATTCGTCACCCTTTTTCATTAAGCCACGATTAAAATATTCTCGTGACACAAATGAGGAATACCACCGAGGCACATTGTGTGTTCAATGGGTCATTAAGGATCGGCCCATCACATTTAACAAGGCCAAAATTTAGATTCATTCATTTAATTAATAACAATTTTGGTTCAACTCTGTCCAAGTTGATTAGTCTAAAAAGAGAAAGTTCCAAGGTTGCTCTCGTATTCGTCACAAACAGGACGGGTCAAAAAATAGCCACAAATTAAATTTTGTAGTCCGAATAACGGAACTCGAACATACTTTAAATTGATGTGGTGTGATGTGCATTTCTCAATTAAGGTAATAAATATTAAAACTTGTTTCGCATTTCCTTCTTTAACTACCAATTAAATGATAAAGACACTAATCTGACATTCAAAAAGTGAAAAACAAGTACGACTTTTACTATTTTGTTGTATGATTTGAGAAAAGGAAATTTATATTTAGCGCAGAATAAATTTTTATTCTTTTGTACAGACATATTACATTGTATTTTATGAGATTCTAAGTCGCGACCTTTTATCTCGCACTGAAACAATAGAGAGTCTCACCGTTCTACATAACATCGCTAATTGAATTAAATTGATTATTTTTTCCAAAAGCCCAGAACATAATATTCAATTTACAAATTTTAATTGAATTTCCAGTAAGCAGAGTTCAAAGAAATATTTGTTTCTAAAGAAAACCATTTAATCTTAATTATAATAAGAAAAAAAATATAATTTATTTTGAGGTCCAATAAGACACAGTGCGAATAATAGATAAATCGAGAAACTAAAGAACGTGACTTGGATGTGGGAAAGTTAATTATTTCCCGAAATAAAATTTTAAATAACTGTAAAGTGAAGCAAACTTTCTTATTGAAAAGTACTAGAAATTGTTATTTTCATTATTCATTCCTTATCCTTGAAAGAAAATCTTAAATCCTTTCCGGAATCCCTCTTCATTAACCCTCTCAAATTAACTGAAGCATCAAAATTATCAACAGCCTCTAGATTGAAATTAAGCAGTAATCAATGACGCAATAAAGGCGGTCAATCGGCCATAACCATCCTGTTCTTATTCCAGAAGTAACAATCGGTTCCGCTTTGACTTTTTTTTCATGTAAACTATCCTTTAATAAGTTACAATTTTCTCACATTATTATAATCAGAAAGTTTTCGCCAAAAAAAAAAAACCCCGGCAAACTTTCTTCAATTAAATCCGACCTCTAACCTAATGAAATATTTTGACTTGTCGCCAACTTTTCCGGGACATTCCAATTAAAATAAATTGTTCATCAAGTTGATGTTTCATTTTACGTTCATAACTCTATTAAAACTGAACGACTGTGCCCCTTTCCTGTCATAAAGGGCGCATTTTTTCGCGTGGAATTTCATTAAAAAGTGTGATCTAGTGGAACGAAAAGTACAGTCGATTTAGTAAATGTGGAGGACCGTTTCTTTCAAGACTTACTGTGCTTTCGCTGAAAAATGATGTTAAAGATGAAATGTGACAGATGGTCACAAAAAGTGGAAAATCACTCGTAACTTTATAGTAATCAATCGTTAAGTTCGTTTTTCTTTTATTTGTTTGACTTTTCCGATAAATTTACGTCGGAACAAGTGAAGACTAATCGCTTATCGGGATTCAGTTTTGTCTCATAAATCACAGTTTGTTGCAAAAGCGAGCTTTTTAACATCTATTTACTTACCAAGCAGGAAAGTTTACGATTTAGGGGACGTCGGGGAAATATTCCGAAAGCTATAGAACCTTTTATGCAGAGCAAACGTGAGCAAATTTATAGTTTTGTCTTCCAGGCAAAGGAACAAGTAGCTTACAAGAGTCTTTTTTGCTTTCAAAACTGGTTTAGTAAAAAAGTGAGGTTATGAAATATCAATTTGTTTGGTTTCTGGCGCCTCCACCATTTTTTTAACTGTGATTAAAATAAATGAAAATGCAGTTTATAAAACAAACTATTTATTTCTGGACATTAATAATTTTGTTTTATTTCATATAAACATCACATTAATAATATAGTGGACTAGAATATAAATTGACAGCTTTCATAGGCAATTCGAGTTAACTATTTGCGTATTTGACATTGAAGAGTCGGTCTCAAGCCTAGACCATTTCATGTCACTTGACACCGTGGACTCGCCGATGTCGTGACCTTAAACCCCACACAAATTAGATTTGCCGTAAAGATGGCGTTGCGTTACAAATCGCCATCTTTACAACATGGCGCTAACTAATTTATCTGGATTGTAATAGCATCTAGGCTCGAGTCCCAATCACACCACACAAATTACATCCTAAAAAATCAGTCACATTTGTTGCGTTCTATTTACAACACTCGACTCTCTCCCGTTACTCCTCGTCCGTAAGTTCCTTAATGGCTAGCACTTGGTGAGCACTGTCATATCGCTGCTCGCGGTATTACAAGGTTGGTATTCCGTCACACCGGTCACTAGATCAGGCTTACTCCGTCCCAACACTTGATTAAACTTATCTCTAATGGACAACTTCTGGGTTTCCCCGGACGCGTTGTTTTTTTCCGACGACGAAATGCACAAAATGTCTTTGAATTCCTTCCAGAAGTTTTCGTTGAGGCAACCGTAAAGCACGGGATTTGAACACGCCGAAGACATACCCATCATGTGACAAACAGCGTAACCGATCATCATGGGTTGGGATGTTGTCGGGAAATTATTCAAGTCGGCGATCAAGTTGAAAAGGTTGAGAGGCAACCAACTGACACAGAAGATGATGGCGATTGAACCCAGAAGAAGGTTAGTGCGTTGGAGGCGGCGACCTCGCAGTTGGCGGCGGCCTTTTTGCGACGATTCGTCACTGCTGACAAAACCGGCAGCGAAGCGGTAGCGCAATTTGTAAGAGATGCGCAAATAGGCGGCCTGAGGAAAGACAAATTATGCAATCAACAAAGCGAAAAATTCACCGCAACTTAGGCGACCAACAATACAATCTAACAAACTAAATTAATAAAAAGATCCTTTTTTTCACTATGAGCTGTAAAAGATACCATTATTTAGTTTGTCAAGAGGTTGTGAAGTTGTTTTTCTCTACTAGTGGTCATTTTCATTATGGGCTATAATGCATTAGAGGTGGGTAAATGCCGATGTTGGAGGGTATTACATTGATACAAATATTTCTAGAATTATTACTGAAAACTTTTACAATCACAAGTGCGAAAGTATTTCGAGATGAAATTAATGCAAAATCAAATAAACAAGATTTAAACTGCCTCAATAAAAACTTCAGAATAACCCCAACTCTAATACTTCTGTCTGTCAAAACTGTCAAAAGAACAAATGGGTTTATTTCTTGTTAAAATAATCGGTAGTGAGACAAATTTTAACACTTTTTCCCTTTTCTTTACAGTTTCTTTGATATTTCAACAAATATTTTATATTATTAAGTTGGAAAATTCTTTTAATAATTCCACAAGTACAAAAATGACATAACCTCATGTATGATAAGAAAAAAATAATATTTCCAACGTAAGTTAAGCGGGTGTCCTGAATTAGAATATTCAAAAACAGAGTTTTTTTTGTGAAATTTTTTTAGAAGTAAAAAAAAATGAAGTTTTTGAATGTTGAATGTTTAAGTAAAATAAATTATTAAAAAAATTTCTAAGCCTATTTTATGGGCGTCTTATCGTTGCAGTCTACAATTGGTGGGAAAGATCCACCTTATAATTCTTGAGTAAAACAAAAAACCAAAAAAATATTAAATTATTATACAGGGTGAATATAAAGTATGGAACCAAGCGGTTTTTTTTAATCATTTGCCTTCAGAAAATAATAATTTATATAAATTAAAGTAATTTAAAAAATGT